TATTATAAAAATGTACGCAAATGATGAAATAAAAATAAATAATAATTGACTAAGAAATTGAAATGAGAATAAAGATAATTAGAAAATCGGGGCTGCTCGAATACCACTTTAGATTGAACTGAAAAGGGAAACAACAGGAGAGAGGGCAAGGAGTAGAGAGAGAGGAAGGGAGAAGAGAGGAGAGGAGAGGAGAGGGAGAGAAAGAAGAAAGGGAAACGGAGAGGAAGAAAAGGGAGGGGAAAGAGGAGTAGAGGAGAAGGTTAGAAGGGGGGAAGAAGAGAGAAGTGGGGGAAAAGAAAGGGAAGTAGGAAAAAGAAGGAGAGGAAGAACGAAGGAAGTAGGAGGAGAAAGAGGTAGGAAGAGAAGGGGAGGAGAAGAAGAAAGGTTGGAGTAAATGTAAAGGGTAAAAGAGCAGCCCCGAAAAAGTAAAAATTAAAATTAAAAGAAAAGATGAATGAAAAATGATGGAAATGACTGTACGTGTAAATGTGTTTATGAGAAATAAAAATAAAAAAACTTTTTTGAAAAAAAAAAAGAGAATAAACATCATTCGAATCCCTAGTACAAGTCTCCTCCAAGGTCCTTCCAACTCTGTTACTGTTACTATCAAAATATTAAGAGACATGAAAAGTTCAGAGTTCTTCTACATGCCAAAATTCCAGCTTTGGAAGGCTTGTGGACTTTAAAATATGTTCTGCATTTCTTCCGAAAGTGTAAAAAGTGAATATTGACGGAAACAGATCCTAACAGAAATCTAATTAGGATCAGGAAGTTGAGATGAGGCAGTTATATAAACGGATTGATTGACGGATTGACTGAACGAATGAACGAACGAAGCCATCCCTCTATCCAATAATAACTAAATAATTATTATGGGTCAATATTTAATCAATCAAATGATATTTAAATAAGTGTCATGGGTCGATAAAATCAAAGAATAATTAAACAATTATGTTTCAATATCTAATCAATTAATCCAATAACAGCTGTTGTGGGTCAATTCCTAATCGATAATCAAGTAATAATGAAATAACGTATCGATGAATAACAAATCAATCAATCTTTCAATCAAATAGTAATTAAATGAGTGGCACGACTCAATACCCATCCTTCCTGATAGTTTATCAACATGCCTCGCGAGGCGCATCTGCAGTTTGCGTGCGTCTTGTGTGGGCGTGATGCAGGTAGTCCTCGACTTACGACCACAACAGAGCCCAACATTTCTGTTGTTAAGCGAGACATTTGTTAAGTGAGTTTCGCCCCGTTTTACGAACCTTTCTTTGCCACAGCTGTTGTGAATCATTGCAGCCGATAAGTTAGTCACCCCGTTGTTAAGTGAATCTGGCTTCCCCCGTTGACTTTTGCTTGGCGAGAAGGTCGCAAAAGGGAACCACCGGATCTTGGGACACCACAACGGTCATAAGTACGAACCTGTGGCCAAGCATCGGACTTTCGATCATGTGTTCACGGGGCTGCTAGAAAGGTCGTAACTGTGAAAAACGGTCCTTTTTCAGCGCCGTTATTAACTTTTCGAACGGTCACTAAACGAACCGTCGTTAAGTCGAGGACTCCCTGTAACGTTCACCAGCAGGATACGGCGAGTGGCCGCTGCTTGCTTTGCACTTATGAAATACAGAATTATACTAGTTTTGGTGCTCTTGAGTTTTAAAAACACTTTGTATTCTGCGCCCTTTCCAGGATGGCATCTTTTCTCAACCTGGGGCACTCCTTGAAATGCAAGAGCGGAACAGAGAGTTGGAAGGGACCTTGGAGGACATCTAGTCCAACCCCCTCCCCTGCTCACACAGGAAACCTATACTAGGGATTCGAACCGCCGAAACTGCAGACCTTTCTGATTGACAGGTGCATCGTCTTAGCCACTAAGCCACCTAGCCCAGGCTAAATCCGACATGCATCTGGATGGAGAGGGTGGGTGGGGGAATAAATTAGAATAAAAATGGCATTTTTTTCCAGCCTTTGCAAGAAATGTCTCCCTCTCTCTCTCTCTCCCTCTCTCTCTGGGTCAATACAGATACAGATTATTTTTAATTTTTTTAAAATCTAATTTTAATTTTTTTTTAATTTAAATTTTTTTTTAAATTTTTTAAAAGTTTTAAATTGGTTTGTGATTTTTAATTTTTGGGCCAAATTTATATAGATTTTAATTGTTTTTTAATATTGGTATTTCATGTTCTTAATTCTGGCTGTACACCGCCCTGAGTCCTCAGGGAGAAGGGCGGTATATAAATTGGAAATAAAATAAAAAATAAAATAAAATTAACAGAGTTGGAAGGGACTTTAGAGGTCATCTAGTCCAACCCCACCCCTCCCGTTCAAGCAGGAGGACCCTACACCATTTCTAACCAATGGCAACCCAGTCTTTTCTTGAAAGCCTCCAGGGATGAAGCTCCCACAACTTCCCAAGGCAACTTCTAGCTACCCCCCCCCACCCCCAAATGCAAATATGCACCCCCCATAAAGCAGAGGTCTACAAACTTGGCAGCTTTAAGACTTGTGGACTTCAACTCCCAGAATTCTCCAGCCAGCATTGCTTAAATGCTTAAATTTATTAAATTTAAATTAAATTGCTTAAATGCACAAGTCTTAAAGCTGCCAAGTTTGAAGACCTCTGCCATAAAGGTTGCAAGGAATGGCAGATGAAAAAATAATAATAATAATAATAATGCAGGATTCTCTTGACCTGAGTGAGAATCCTACCCAAAGGCATTTATTATTTATTTATTTATTTTTGGAAAAGCTGCACAGCAGGGAGAATCTTGGCTCTTCCAGGCAGAAATTCAACAGGGGAAGCCCAGTGCACCTCCTTCCCATGCCAACCCCCCTCCCCCCCAAACCAAGACCTCCCTGGTCACCTTGGGGGTCTCCCCCCACCCCTCTCCCCCATTGAGACCTGCTCAGTACCTTCCACCAGCCGCAGCGCTGTGGGGTATTCACAGAGCGCGTTTCCGCAGCCCCCGCTAAGCCACTAGCGTGGTTTACAGCCCTCCTAGCAACGGTATCCAGATGCACAAGCTCGGCGCGAACCAACTGTCCGCTAAGAGAGGGGTGTATGCGTGTGTGTGGGGGGGGGGGTGAAGCAGCGTTCTTCAGCTTCCGCTTTGGGCTCCAGGAAAATGGTATGGTCCAAAGTCTGTTTTTGCTTTGCTTTTTTTTTTATCCAAAGGTTTTTAGGATTTATTAAACCAAATTGGCAGTTTTCTAATTTTATGAGGAGGGAGGAGGGGGGGAAGAGAAGGAGGGAGGGAGGGAGAAGGGGAAGGAGGAAGGACTGATGTTGTTAGCTAGTTTGGTAATGAAACGTCTGCCAGAAAACAGCGAAGCTCAGAGAGAGCACCGGGGTTCTCAACAGTTCAACCCTGAGCTACAAATATGGAAGGGAGGAAGGAAAGGAGATGGAAGAAAGAGAGGAAGGAAGGAATAGGCTGGGAAGGAAGGAGGAGGGAGGGAGGGAGGGAAGCAAGGAAAGGAAGAAGGAAGGAAAGGAGATGGAAGAAAGGGAGGAAGGAAGGAATAGGGTGGGAAAGAAGGAATGATGGAGGGATGGAGGGAGGGAAGCAAGGAAAGGAGGAAAAGAAAAAGATGGAAGACGGAGGGTGGGAGGAAGGAAGGGAGGAATAGGGAGGGAGGTTGGAAAGGAAGGAGGGAGGGAGGGAAGCAAGGAAAGGAGAAGGAAGAAAAGAAGATGGAAGAAAGGGAGGAAGAAGGAATAGGGTGGGAAGGAAGGAAGGGATGGAGGAGGGGGGAGGGAAGCAAGGAAAGGAGGAAGGAAGAAAGATGGAAGACGGAGGGTGGGAGGAAGGAAGGAAGGAATGGGGGGAGGTTGGAAAGGAAGGGAGGGAGGGAAGCAAGGAAAGGAGGAAGGAAGGAAGGAATAGGGTGGGAAGGAAGGAAGGATGAGGGAGGGAAGCAAGGAAAGGAGGAAGGAAGAAGAGATGGAAGAAGGGAGGGAGGAAGGAAAGGAAGGAAGGAAAGAAAGAAAGAAAGGGAGGATGGAATTTACAGGGCAATTTAGTCAACAATACTATTTCTCATAATTCTTTTTTATCAAATCTGGAAATGGCCTTTCTTATGACAGGTCCTCTTTCTTCACTTTGGCATATTTGAAGAATATGCTTTTTCCAAAAAGGAACTGTGTTTGATGAAAATTAAGCTCTAATTAATATAAAATAGGTTGCAAACCTCCACATGACTAATAGGGGGAGGTTTTAACCCCAAAATCTGCTGCCTTCTCTTGGTTATCTTGATTTCTGCAGCTTGGATGTGCTGCTAAGAAACTATTTGGCAAATGGATATCGTACTATATTGTGCTTGTAACGGATGTTGAGGAAAATCAAAGGTTGGAGTGTGGGGAAGTGTAACCTTCTTTTTAGGGAAGTTTAAAAGATTTCTTGGAGTAATGTAATAAATTAACTTTGTATATCCCGAAATCATTAAGACCACACGAGGAATTTAACTGCTAAGTAACAACTGATACAAGTTCTCAAGGGTCTTTATAGTATGGTTATTGCTTTATTTGCAATATAGTTCTAAAATGTATCTTAGTCTAGGAGGCTCTCATCTGAAATCCTCTCCATAATCTGGATTTTTGAAGAGATTTTTTTTTTTTTTTGCAGAACAGGACAGTGCAGGAAGAAAAATGGGAAGGGAAGATGATCCTTGCCGTTAAACACGGCACAATATTGTACTTAGTGTTTACATATCCGTTTCTCTAAAGTGGGACGATTCTTTTTCGAAGACTGAAGAATCCTGACTTCCTTCTGAAGGTTTTGGTGTCCTGGTATACGATTTTTGAATTGTATATTTCTCGCTGTTCCTCCAGGGGATCACTGCATAAAATAAAGGCATAGGTCACTGCTACTTCGAGCTCATTTCTTTTTTACTTCTGATCCTAGCTCATATTTCAGCCCCAAAACAGTGGTAAAAAAACAGATAGCGATTAACAAAGTTGGAAGGGACCTTGTAGGTCATCTAGTCCAACCCCCCCAAAGCAGGAGACCCTACACCATTTCTGACAGATGGCAGTCCAGTCTCTTCTTGAAAGCTTCCAGCGATGAAGCTCCCACAACTTCTGAAGGCAACTTCTGTTCCATGGGTTGATTGCTCTCACTGTCAGAAAATTTCTCCTTATTTCTAGGTTGAATCTCTCTTTGTTCACTTTCCATCCATTATTCCTTGACTGGCCTTCAGGTGCCTTGGAAAATAGCTTGACCCCCCTCCTCTCTGTGGTAGCCCCTCAAATATTGGAAGACTGCTATCATGTCTCCCCTGGTCCTTCTCTTCACTAGACTAGCCATGCCCAGTTCCTGCAACTGTTCATCGTATGTTTTAGCCTCCAGTCCCCTCATCATCCTGGTTGCTCTTCTCTGCACTCTTTCTAGAGTCTCAACATCTTTTTTATAGTATGGTGACCAAAACTGGATGCAGTACTCTAGGTGTGATCTTACTAAGGCTTTATAGAGTGGTATTAATACCTCCCTTGATCTTGATTGTATCCCTCTGTTAATACAATTTAAGATTGCATTGGCTTTTTTGGCTGCCGCCGCACACTCTTGGCTCCTATTTAATTGGTTGTCCACTAAGAGTCCAAAATCCCTCTCCCAGTTACTGCTATTAGGCCTGGTTTCACCCAGTCTGTATGTCAGCACTTCAAACTGCAATTACTCTAGTGCTGACATAAGAAGGAGGAGCGGAGGCCTCTGGAAAGGGACGTTTTGAGTTTTCACCTACTTATTTTCCCTGGAGATAATATCCCCTAGGAGATGGGATGGGAGGGGGGAAATTCCTTTGAGCTGGAGCAGTAGATTAGGGGCAGAGTGATTTGGAAGATGGCCAATGAGTGCAGGGGTGTGGGGAACGGAAAGGGAGGGTTTTGGGTCTGGAAGTCAGTGTTGGCTACGATGGAGTCGGACTTTTGAATGTCGTGCTTAATAAAGGGGAATTTTCTTCAAAGACTTTGTTTGAAATGCAATTTATTTGAGACGACCTCGAAACCTGACACTGTATGTATATTCCACAGCAATTGAACTGCACATTTGTTCATCCTTGCTTTTCTTAATTTCAACCTCTGCCCTGCCTGCAAACATGAAGAAATCCCATTTATACATACCGCATATATTCTTCTCGAGCCTGCCAGGGGATTCGTTTGCTTTAGGCCTGTAGCTCTCAATGGGTTGTTCAGAAGCATTATTATTTTCTATATTAGGGAGGGACAGGAATGAGGTGCAGAGTATTAGTCCAGATATCTGTCGCGACAAGGCAGATTTAGCTCACATACCTATTGATAGTCCTTGACTTATGAACGGTCACTTAATGACTATTTGAAGATGCGAAGGCCCCTCCAGATCTACTTATGACCTGTTTTCAGAGTTACAATGTCCCCAAACAGCACACACACAAAGTCACATGGTCACATTTTGGGTACTTGCAACCGGCTCACCTTTTCGGCTGGTTGAAGCATCCTATGGTCACATGACTGGAATTTATATCATTATTTTTTTTTTTATCAAATGCCTGTAAACAAAATGTGTTTACAGCCGTTGGGTAAAATGGATTTGCTTAATGACCACTGGATTTGTTTAACAACCGTGGCATTCGTTAACAAGCACCGCCAAAATAGTAAAAAAAAAAAAAAAAAAATCAGATCTGGTCAGGTCTGGTCAGATAATGCCTCCAGTTAGGACTGCAACCACTTAACAATAGCTATAGCACTTATATACCACTTCACAGTGCTTTTACAGCCCTCTCTAAGCGGTTTACAGAGTCAGCCTATTGCCCCGAACAATCTGAGTCCTCATTTTACCAATCTTGGAAGGACGGAAGGCTGAGTCAACCTTGAGCTTGGTGAGGCTCAAATCTGCCAAATTGCAGGCAGCCGGCAGTCAGCAGAAGTAGCCTGCAGTACTGCATTCTCACCACTATGCCACCATGGCTCTTAACAACTGTAATTCTGGGCTCAGTTAAGGTCATAAATCAAGGACTACCTGTATAATGTCCCATGTTTACTTGGAAGGAAGCCTCATTAATTTCAATGGGGCTTTACACTCAAGTAAGTGGGTATAATGATGACTATCCCACCTCCAACACGTTCATGAGTCAGAGATCCTAATTTTCAGGTGAAGTCTTTTTCCTAATTCTAGGTTTAATACTGGCTCAAATCTGACTGGCATTGGTGAACAAACATATTGGAATTTTTAAAAATCTGCTATACAAATTCAGGAAAGTGAAATCAATTGCTGTGGCAGACAAGGTCCTACTGTTCTCTGAAGATGTTGAAGATTGTTTTGTTGTGGCCCGCCAGTGGCCAGCGGAGCTGGCAGCAGATTCGGACAGTGAGGAGGTTGGGGAGGAACATGGGCCAGTCTTGGAGTCTGGGGAAGGCTCTGCGTCAGAGGCAGAGAGGGGTCCAGGGCCGTATGCCAGTTATCAGCTGCCTTCGGAGTCAGACATCAGTGAGGCAAACCAACAGCTGGAGCCTGTTCCCAATGTGCGCATGCACAGAGTTGCCAGACGAAGGGAACCGCTAAAGAACAAGGGTCGACTCGGGAGTAACGCCACAGTGGACGATGAATAGCCCCTCCCAGAGAGAATAAAAGAGGAGCGACAGGGGAGTGGAGTTTGCAGGAGACAATTCGTTCATTCCTGCATTCTTGCCAAGAATTGCGGCATCTGAAAGATATCGATCCGGCCACTCTCCAAACCTGATAAAGGTCGGTAATTGTGAACTATCTTGAAAGACTGTGGGAGAGGAAAGACTTTGCTGGAGAGGAATTCACTGTCAATTAAATAAAAGGGGTTTATTGGGAAGCCTAGGTCAGAACACATTTCCCACAATCTTGAAGCACCACAAGAAATTTTGTGGGTGTTGAATGCAGGCTTTTTAGCAACTTTTGGGCACGTGGGTGGAAGAGGAAACTATTGCCAATGTGTATTAAATTCTCCTTTTTTTTTTCTTGTTACCTTTTTTCCAGTCCCTGTGTGCTTTCCACAGCTTCACCACAAAGAGAAGGACGATGATCAAGAGAGCAAGAAGGAGAACGGACACAAGGCCCGGGAACAAAATGTTGGCTTGTTCCTCCATAGAGCCTCTGTAAGTCATGTTTGTTTCTGTTTTGGGGAGAGAAAAAAAAGGAACAGAAAACATTTGAGTTTTGTCATCTTTAGCTTCTATTTCCTAGCAGAAAAATATTGGGGGTGGGGGTTATGAGAGCTGGAGAATTGTATTTCTCCACCAGTTGCACTTCCATGGAGTCCACCACACCAGCATTCTCCAACTTGCTATTTCCCAGAAAGTTCTGGACTATACACAGAGTTGTATAGTCTTCAAGGGCTCTTTGAAGGTCATCGAATCCAGGGGTCACCAACCTTTCGGACTTCAGGGACCATTTTAAATCCCGCGGACCACTAATACGATCTGCCTAATGACTGGTTGGGTGGGCGTGGCTGGGTGGTCATGTGACTGGGTGGGCGTGGCCAACTCGATCTCACTCACGTCGAGGGGTGCCTCGCCAGCCTCTACCCACCATTCCCCTCCCAGCTGCTCCGTACCTCCCCGCCCATTCGAAATCATTCAAAATCAATTAATAAGAACAATATGAGCCCACCTGGAATGTCATTCGTTTTGCTTTGTCTAAGGAGCCTGGATAGCTCAACAGACAGAAGCACTGTAATTTAACACCAGCTGTCTGCAATTAAAGTAAGATCGAATCTCGCCAGGTTCAAGGTTGACTCGGCCTTCCATCCTTTCTAAGGTAGGTAAATTGAGGACCCAGTTTGTTAGGGGGCAATAAGCTGACTTTGTATAAATATACAAAAGTATGAAGGCTATTGCTTAACGCACTGTAAGCCGCCCTGAGTCTCCGGAGAAGGGCGGCATATAAATCAAATTTTTTTAAAAAAATGTCTGAATCTAAATTATGATTTATAGCTTAGTGTATATTGAGCATACCTAGCCAAGGAAGTCTATTTATAAACCCATTTATAAATTTATAAATTCTTTATAAAGAATTCCATGCCCATATACACTTAATGCACTTAAGTCCAGGAAGTTTGACTAGGGAAACACTAAAAGAGCATATCTTTTCAGCGAATACTCTGAAATGAAAACTTTATCGTCTTTTTTTTTTTAACAGATTAACAGAATTGGAAGGGACTTTATAAGGGACTGTCATCTAGTCCAACCCCCCGCTCAATGGTGTAGGAGACCCTACACCATTTCTGACAAATGGCAGTCCAATCTTTTCTTGAAAGTCTCAAACGATGAAGCTCCCACAACTTCTGAAGGCAACTTCTGTTCCATGGGTTGATTGTTCTCACTGTCAGAAAGTTCCTCCTCATTTCTAGGTTGAACCTCTCCTTGATCAGTTTCCATCCATTATTCCTTGTCTGGCCTTTGGGTGCTTTGGAAAAGAGCTTGACCCCCCTCCTCTCTGTGGCAGCCCCTCAAATATTGGAAGACTGCTATCCTGTCTCCCCTGGTCCTTCTCTTCACTAGATTAGCCATGCCCAGTTCCTGCAACCGTTCTTTGTATGTTTTATTTAGCCTCCAGTCCCCTAATCATCTTGTTTGCTCTTCTCTGCACTCTTTCTAGAGTCTCAACATCTTTTTATAGTGTGGTGACCAAAACCGGATGCAGTACTCTAGGTGTGGTCTTACTAAGGGTTTATAGAGTGGTATTAATACCTCACTTAATCTTGATTGTATCCCTCTGTGAATGCAAATTAGGATTGTATTGGCTCTTTGGGCTAGCACCACACACTGCTGGCTCCTATTTAGCTGGTTGTCCACTAAGGCTCCAAGATCCCTCTCACAGTCACTGCTTTTAAGCCTGGTTTCACCCAGTTTATATGTGTATTTTTGGTTTTTCTTACCTATCTGTGTTTCCCCGAAAATAAGACCCTGTCTTATATTTTTTTGAACCGTGAAATAACTGTTTGGCCTTATTGCCATGCGCTGCTTATTTTGGGGGAAACAGGGTAAGTGTAGGACTTTGCTTTTGTCTAACCTATCTTCCCTAAACAGTTGTTCTGTCCCCGTCCCACACGCACACACACCAACAGATGTTCAAGAGTTAAAGACCAAACCAGCCGGCAAAATCCTTTTCCTTATGATAACGGAACTTGGCAACAACCTAGTGGCTGCCTGCCAAGAGTTTATTACTTACGAAGAGGAGAGATAACTTCTCCCCACTTCTGGTACATCAAAAGAAACAGCTCAATAATTACAGAGTCAATCAAGTCCAGAGATAATCCAGCAAAGTCTATAGCAAAAGTCCGGCAATGCAGAATGGCGTGGAAGCTTTCAGCTTTGTTCGTCACAAGGTTTGACTGGCCACCACGCTCCCTTTTATATCCTGTGGGGTGTGGTCCAGTGACTCAGCCTAATCTCGGGCATGCCTTTTCTTCTGTTGTGCGTGCTTATCTCTGCGACGCTGGCGTGGATCCAGCCAAGACTCATTACCCTCATCACTGTCCACCTGTGGCTGCATGGACGTGCTTGGCCCCGGCCCTATCTCTTGCCCTTCGGCGGACACCAAAGGCATTGCCAGAGAGGAGGGTCCTGGAGAGGGAGGCCTTGCCAACTCCTCCCCTTCACTCTCGGAGTCCTCTCCTGACGATGACACAGGCTCAGGTAACGGAGCCACAGCAACAGAGTCCCCAAGCCTCTGGCATCAGACCAGGAAGGAGAGCAAAGAATTAAAAGCACATCAGTTGAACATTATTAGTAATGTGGGAGCAACTTACGATTGTTTGCCCAAACTTCTTTCTCTGTACTTGGGAACATTGTTTGTGTGGTTGGGTTTCCTTCTGTTACGTTGGATGTTGGATTGGATTCTGTGGAAGGGATGACAAAGAGGGTTATGGAAAGGAGAAAGGAGAAATGCAACCAATGTTATGGAGAAGAACAGGAAGCAAGTTGAGGGTGATGGAGCAGAGTGTTCTGCTCCAGCTACGGACCCCAAAGAACGCAGCACACACAAAGTCTGTACAAACCTTAGTTTACTAAATTAAATCAGTTTTTTTTCAAACAAAGGCTGTTAATTAACTTTCTTAACAGCCTTCAAGAATCCAAAGAATAAATAATCGTAATCTTACTATGGTTGGCAGAAAGCCCAGAAGCAATTTGAAAAGAACGAAGATCAAGACGCAAAGGAGAGTGAACGAAGTTTTTCCCTGCAAATTGCCTCAGTTGTCATCCTTCCTTAAATAGGCTAAGGGAGTGGTCAATTAGCCCCAAGCCTTACTCTCGAGGAGACCTTCTCCTGAGGAGCCACTCCTGCCTTTTGGCAGCTCTGTGCGCTCATGCATCGAGAAGAGATCCTCCTCCTCCTCTTCCTCTTCACTTATGGGAGCTTCTGGAGGTTCTGAAGGCCCTGGCTGAAACTCCGCCTCTGGCACCACATCTTCTCCAGCCTCCTCACTGTCCGACTGGAGTGCCAGCTGCATAGGCTGCTGGTACAGCACCACACCAGCCTCCTCGCTGTCGGAATCAGCTACTAACTGCACAGGCTGCTGACGGGCCACAACACAGAGAGGATCAATGTTGTAGTCTTACCATTGGTAGCATTAGAACTTTGTGTTTCTGCTTCCTTGGTTGGAGGCAACGTTGGAATGCTAAAGGTTCCTTCTGTCCTCTGTTTTTGTTCTGAATGTGTGGAAAAGGAAACAAGGAAGGCTATTAATGCCCAAGCATAACATTTATAAACTTATAAAGGCCAAAACGTGAGAGTCCTACTAGATTAGAAGATCCATTTAGATCACATATGGCCTTCTGGATAATGTGGTCTTCTAGAATCCACTATCCTCAACCATTGTCTATAGTAAGTAGGGCTAATGGAATATCTATATCTATCTATCTATCTATCTATCTATCTATCTATCTATCTATCTATCTATCATCTATCTATCGCCCCCAACAATCTGGGTCCTCATTTTACCGACCTCGGAAGGACAGAAGGCTGAGTCAAACCTCGAGCCTGGTGTGATTCGAACTGCCAAATTGCAGGCAGCCGGCAGTCAGCAGAAGTAGCCTGCAGTACTGCACTCTGACCACTGCGCCACCGCAGTTCAAATGGTTGCAAGTCATTTTTTTTCCAGTGCCGGGGTAACTGAATGGTCACTAAATGGACTGTTGTAAGTTGAGAACCACCTCCAGTGCAAACGTTATTAAGTTTCCCATGAGGCATACTGCATGTGTAAATGATTGTGTAATTCCTAAGAGGGAATTACTTATTTCTCCTGTTTATTTTTGAAACACGTTTTCCATCCTGCCCTCAAGATCTCCACTTACTGGCATGATCCAGGTGCAAAGTCAGAGTTAAATTTCTTCCTCCTAAGGCTTTGTGATGTATCACACAAGAAACGACAGAGCCCTGGGGGAATGTGTAGATGGCCAAGTTGCTTATGGAATGGAACCTCTTGGCTTCCAGCTGGTGTTGACTGTTTCCTAAAATGCATCGAAGAATGCAAAAAGAGATAATAATAATAATAATAATAATAATAATAATAATAATACTGCCTCTGCAATGAAAAAGAAGAGACAGTTGACCACCTGATCAGTGGGTGCAGCAAAATTTCACAAACTGACTACCTACAACGCCATGACCGTGTTGCTAAGATCATTCACTGGAAATTGTGCCAGAAGTTTGGATTTGAGTACAGCAAAAACCACTGGGAACATCAGGTTGAGAAAGTTTTAGAGAATGAGAAACTCAAGATCTTGTGGGACTTTAGGATTCAGACTGACAGGCACTTGGTCCACAACACACCTGACATAACAATAGTTGAAAAGAAAAAAGTATGGTTCATTGACATTGCAATACCTGGTGATGCACGAATTGAAGATAAGCAGCAAGAAAAAATCACAAAGTACCGGGACTTACAAATTGAAGTTGAGCGACTGTGGAAAAAGAAATCGTGGGTTGTCCTGATTGTAATTGGAGCCCTTGGAGCAATACCCAAAGGGCTACCCCGCTATTTAGAAATTCTAAATTTGCCGGACTTGAACATTTTGACTCTACAAAAAACCACCTTACTCGGAACAGCTTACATCCTCCGACGATACCTTCACAGTTCCTAGGTCCTGGGTTAGGACTCGAGCTGCTGAGCTATTAACCAGCCTCAAAGGCTGTGAATCTCACTAAAGATTAACCAATAAATAATAATAATAATAATAATAATAATAATAATAATAATAATAATAATAATAATAATAATAGAATTCTTTATTGGCCAAGTGTGATTGGACACACATGGAACAGACTAAGTGGACACGGAAACTTTTGAAAAGTGCTTGCTACTTCCTGCTGCCCTCTCCCCATAGTCTGACGTGGCTGCCTAAATCAACCCTAACCCTAACCCTGATGCTAGGGTTAGTACCAAGCTAGGATGAACCAGGTTTAAATTCTATTTGGTTGTGTCATTTCCCCAGTTGTAGTTCTCACCTTCCCCACATGGCTACCATGAAGATCAAACTATGGGGAGAACTTCAGCGATGGTTCCTTCTTAGGCACAACAAGCCAGGTTCCCACAAAACATTTGAAGTTCCTAGAAAGATGCTGACCTCACTGAGGTTCTGAATGGGGATGATGCTAAGATGATACCCCAAGAATAAGAATTTAAGTAATACAAATACTGTGATCTCCTTCATAGAATAGAATAGAATAGAATAGAATAGAATGCAGAATAAGAATAAAAATAAGAATAAGAATAGAACAGAAAGAATAGAATGCAGAATAAGAATAAGAATAAGAATAAGAATAGAATAGAATAGAATAGAATGCAGAATAAGAATAAGAATAGAACAGATTAGAACAGAATAGAATGCAGAATAGAATTAGAATAGAATAGAATAGAATAGAATAGAATGCAGAATTAAAGAATAGAATATAAGAATAAGAATAGAATAGAATAGAAGAGAATAGAATAGAATAGAATAGAATAGAATTCTTTATTAGCTAAGTGTGATTGGACACACAAGTAATTTGTTTTCGGTGCATGAGCTCTCAGTGTACATAAAAGCTATAAGTGATCAATCATGATCATAGTCATCATAAATAACATTCGTCATAAATCAGAAGATACAACGCTTCGTGGTAGTCATAGGATACTAAATGAGCAATCGACGTAAATCGTACTGGGAAAGTAAATAAAACAGTATAAACCGTTAAAGATACAAGCAACAAAGTTATAGTTGTAGGTAGAAAAGGAGATAGGTAATAGGAACGATAAGAAGATAATAGTAATGCAGACTTAGTGAATAGTTTGACAGTGTTGATGGAATTATTTGTTTAGCAGAGTGATGGCATTCAGAAAAAAAACTGTCCTTGTGGTCTAGTTGTTCTGTTGTGTAGTGCCCTATAGCGTTGTTTAGAGGTAGGAGTTGAAACAGTTTATGTCCAGGATGCGAGGGGTCGTAGATATTTTCACAGCCCCCTTTTTGACTCGTGCAGTATATAGCTCCTCAATGGAAGGCAGGTTGGCTGCAATTGTTTTTTTTCTGCAGTTCTAATTTTTCTTATATATATTATAATAGGATAATTAGAACTGCTTCAGCAAGACTAAAACATCCAGATAGTGGATGGGATATAACCTGGAGGACAGCAGAAGAGAAGAGAAAGACTCCCTAAATACAAAGACCAACAAATAGAAGTAGAATGACAATGGCAAAAGGAAGCAAAGATAATACCGAGAGCAATTTGGTGCAATCCCAAAAGATCTGGAATGCTTAACATTATTAAATGCTTAATATTATTTTTGTTGAAGACTGATTATGAAACTGAGTTTGCAACTCATACAATGGACCCAACTAGTAAAATAAACAAACGAACAACTTGATTTTAAAGCTGGTATAATTGCTTACCGGGAGTTTTTTCCCCCAGTGTTATCGAAGAAGGGCTATTAAAAGACAAAGGATAGTCCAGAAAGAAAAAGAACGTTATTTGAAACATACCAAAGATTTCCATTCCGTTCTGTAGCAGCCAGGTGATCTGAGGGGCAGGCCAGCTGTCTTCCGTGGAACACTTTAAGATTATATTTTCTTCTGTGTGGCTTATTGTGTTCCTCAATGGCTTCTAGCAAAGGCTTGGAAGGTGGAGCTGTAAAAAGAAGAGAATTCATTAGGTTGTAGTCTTCCTGTTGGAATTTTACTTGAGTTGAATAGGATTGGGACAGGATCACTGCACCCACATATCTGGAGGGGTACGGTAAAAGTAAAGGTTCCCCTCGCACATTTGTGCTAGTCGTTTCCGACTCTAGGGGGCGGTGCTCATCTCCGTTTCAAAGCCAAAGAGCCAGCGCTGTCCGAAGACGTCTCCGTGGTCATGTGGCGGGCATGACTCAACGCCAAAGGCGCACGGAATGCTGTTCCCTTCCCTGTTTTTCTACTTGCATTTTTTACCTGCTTTCGAACTGCTAGGTTGGCAGAAGCTGGGACAAGTCATGGGAGCTCACTCCCCGTTACGCGGCACTAGGGATTCGAACCGCTGAACTGCTGACCTTTCTAATCGACAAGCTCAATGTCTTAGCCACTGAGCCTCTGCAGGAATTTTACTTGAGCTGTATAAGATTGGGACAGGACACCCCACCCACATATCTGGAGGGGAGATATAAGCAAATTAACTGTAAGATTACAGGTGGCCCCTCGGTTTATGACAACTGAGCCCAACATTTCTGTTGCTAAGCGAGACAGTTAAGTGAATCTTGTCCCATTTTGGGACCATTCTTGCCACAAACATTAAGCGAACTGCTGCGGTTATTAAGTAAGTAATACGGTTGTTAAGTGAATCTGCAATGGCCTCTGGTTCAGCTCAAAACTATCCTAGCCATTTCCACAAGCCATCATCCATTGAAAAGTAGGAGTTTCAGATCTTACCCCAGACTGTAACGTTCACTACTTTGGTTCCAATATTCTCGCTGTAGTAGAGACAGGTGAATAGGCCCTCATCGTGTCTTGTTACATTGGAAAGACGAATAGACAGGGAATCGTTGGAGTAATTCAGAAGTTCGTACCTTCCATCTCTTGTGGCTGTTTTTAAAAGAGAGATATAAATATTGGTAAGTAAGGCCACACCTGGAATATTGCATCCAGTTTTGTTCGCCACGATGTAAAAAAGATGTTGAGACTCTAGAAAAAATGCAGAGAAGAGCAAGGAAGATGATTAGGGGGCTGGAGGCTAAAACACATGAAGAACAGTTGCTGGAATTGGGTCAAAGGCGGGTTTCAGTAGGTTCTGACCAGTTCTGGAGAACCGGTAGTGGAAATTTTGAGTAGTTCGGAGAACCGGTAGTAAAAATTCTGACTGGCCCCCACCCCCATCTATTCTCTGCCTCCCGAGTCCCAGCTGATCGGGAGGAAATGAGGATTTTGCAGTAACCTTCCACTGGATTGGGGAGGGAATGGAGATTTTACAGTATCCTTCCCAAGCCACGCCCACCAAGCTATGCCACACCCACCAAGCCACACCCACAGAGCTGGTAGTAAAAAATTTTGAAAACCACCACTGAATTGGGTATATTTAGTCTGATGAAAAGAAGGACTAGGAATGACATGATAGCAGTCTTCCAATATCTCAGGAGCTGCCCCAGATAAGAGGGAATCAAGCTATTCTCCAAAGCACCTGAGGGCAGGACAAGAAGCAATGGATGGAAACTAATCAAGGAGAGAAGCAACTTATAACTAAGGAGAAATTTCCTGACAACTTCTGTTCCATGGGTTGGTTGTTCTCACCGTCAGAAAATCCCTCCTTATTTCCAGGTTGAATCTCTCCTTAGTCAGTTTCCATCCATTATCCCCTTGAGAACTACCATAACTGTACACTGATTATGTTGCCTAGTTTGGGTAATGAAACATCTGAAAGAAAACCACCAAGCCCAGAGAACACCAAGGACCCCACAATGAACATATTGTCAACTTGCAAAGCTTTCAAGTTGCTATGAGCAGGAGGGAGAGAGAACTGATGGAGCTGATTGATTTCCCTAACTGAAGCTGCATTCCATAGATGCTTTCTTACCGCAATCAGTAGGAGAGTGTTGGGTTTCACAGCCAGCCAAAGTGGTTAATTGGAGAATGTGATTTATGCCACGGTCAGGAAGGAGGGGAGAGAGAGGGTCATAGGGGAACATAAATCTACATGGGATTAGTTCTAACTGCATCCGAATATTGCTGAAATGGTGCTCCTAATAAATGACTGTATTTGTTTTGAAGTTCGGCTCCTGGCTCATGAATTAATTAGGGCATCTTTCGGAAACTTCACACATATACTTCGATATGAATGAATGAATGAATGAATGAATGAATGAATGCTTGCTCAGGACATAGCTGGACCTCAACACAACTGAACATCATGCAGAGTGCTTTTTTGTTGAAGAGAGTGAATACTTTTAAGTATTTCTTTAAAAAAGAAAGAAAGAAAAAGAACTGTGGAGGCAGTGATCAAACTATCGGAATTGCCCTGTTCACACATCCTAACCACATTGTGGAGATCTTGTGGCTTTAAACAAAGAGGGCAAGTTGTGAAAATGGATTTATGTCAGCCTGTTACACTTCAGAGGCCGGTAGGAAAACCCCCTTCTTGGTCTCCTTCCCGTGGAAAAAGTTCTTGCCGCCAACAGTTTCATCCCACTCTGACCTACCTTGCCAATCTTTGAAAAATATCGCAAAGCCCCCGGGATCTTTCCACTCTAGAGCGGAGGTGTTGCCTTGGCTGTTGACGCAGTGGAGATCCAGATTCTGACCTTCCTCCAAGCTGAGACGTTCCATTAGGACCTGAGAAAAAATCCCTAGCGAAGAAAAGGGGGGTTTTGTAAAGGGTTACTCCAGGGAGACCCAGAGGTTGAGTCCTTTTGAGTAAAATACAAGAGTAGCCTCACATCGGCCTCTTACAGAATTACTATATTCCTCCAATCTCTTGGGGAAATGTATCTTTGACTCAATATGTATTCTCTCTCTCCCTCTTCCTCTACTTCCCTCTCTCTCTCTTTCTCTCCCACTCCCTCTCCTTCCCTTTCTCTCTTTCTCTCCCACCTTCCCTCTCTTTCTCCCTCCCTCCCTCTCTCCCTCCCTCCTTCCCTCTCTCTCTTTTTCTACCTCCCTCCCTCTCCCTCTCCCCCTCCCTCTCTTTCTCTCCCTCTTCATCTCTCTTCCTCCCTCAGTCCCTCAGTCCCTTCCTCCTCTCCCTCTCCCTCTCCCTCTCCTTCCCTCTCTCTCTTTCTCTCCCTCCTTCCCTCCTTCCCTCTCTTTCTCCCTCCCTCCTTCCCTCTCTTTTTCTACCTCCCTCCCTCTCCCCTCCCTCTCTCTTTCTCTCCCTCTTCATCTCTCTTCCTCCCTCCCTCAGGCCCTCAGTCCCTCCCCCTCTCCCTCTCCCTCTCCTTCCCTCTCTTTCTCTACCTCCCTCCCTCTCTCCCTCTCTCTTTCTCCCTCCCTCTCTCTGTCCCTCCCTCCCTCCCTCCCTCTCTGTCTTTCTCTACCCCCCTCCCTCTCTCCCCCTCCCTCTCTTTCTCTCCCTCTCCCTCTCTCTCTCTCTCCCTCCATCTCTCTGACATGGATATGGACTTCCTTAAAATGGTGTTTGCCCAAAGACACTTAAACACATCATGGTTAGGTCCAAATCCTGACGCCAAAGATTCATTTATTCATTTTCATTTATTCTAAAAAAAAGTCCATGCGCCAAGCCACGAGATTCCAATGAAATCTCATGTTCACAATAAAAGACCCTTAAAAACACCCAATTTATCCCTCAACCCCTCCCAATGAAACCCATATTGCTAACGAAGCTAAAACATGGCCCCAATCCAAGATCTGATGAATCCCAAATGCCAGGGGGAACCAGCCCCACAAAGGAGTTGAATTTTACCCACCCAAGGGCTGCTCCCGTTCTATCTTTCGGTTTCATTTCGCCCACCTAAAATAACGTCGCAACTTCTTACGAACGTTGGAGTTTCCCGAAACTGGTTGATACCTCCACCTTATCGGTGAAAAGTGTCACTGAGGCTGGAACGTGTGTTTTCCATAGGATGGCATAAAATGTTCCAAAACACTCACACCATTAAGGGAGACTTTGTCAAGTTTTCTCCTGGGGGCTGAAAGGCAGAATTTGTGGTCTTCCTGTGGACTCCTCTTTAGCTTCACTGTTTCCTGCCGCAGGTCTGTTCACAAACTACGAAATGAGGCCGAAAGGAAACACACCCGCCGACAGAGACTGGGCTCCAGAATCAAGTGTGCATTTCCTTTCCATTTGAGGTCTTAGAAAAACCGAGAGTGAATGAAAAAAAAAACAATGCAGAAGGCGTGGTTGAAATACATGTAAATGCGTATTTTAAATGGAACCGAGTATGGAGAGAAAAGAAGAATTTGGGGGTGACGTGATGGCAGTATTGCAGTATCTGAAGTGCTGCCACAAAGAAGAGGAAGGGGTCAATTTATTTTCCAAAGCACAGGAAGGCAGGACAAGAAACAATGGATGGAAACTAAATCAAGGAGAGAAGCAATTTAGAACTAAGGGGGAAACTTCCTAACAGTGAGGACAATTAAGCAGTGGAATGGCTTGTCTCTAGAAATTATGGGTGCTCCATCACCGGAGGTTTTTAAGAAGAGACTGGACAGTCACTTGTCTGGAATGGTATAGGGTCTCCTGTTTGAGCAGCAGGTTGGATTAGATCAGGGGTCACCAACCTTTCGGACCTCAGGGACCACTAAATTCATAATTTTAAATCCCGCGGACCACTAATATGATCTGCCTAATGACCGGCTGGGTGGGCGTGGCTACGTGGTCATGGGACTGGGTGGGCGTGGCCAACTCCTCGCCTCCCCGCCCTTAGGGCTCCTTAGGACCCCAACAGGAAGCAGTTGTTGGAGCTAAGCAGCCACCACGAGAAAGAGTTGGCAAAAGAGCTGGCTCAGTTCAAATTGGATCTGGCCAAGCTCAGCAGAAGCACCTCACTGAGGACTACGAGTATAGACTTTCCAAGCAGAGGGAAGACCTGCGGGAGTGCAAGGCCAGGTACTGGCGCCTGGAGGCTCAGTGGGCTGAGATGGTCAGCCAGTTCCAGGCCATGATGCAGTCCCACTGGAACGAGGCCCTCCAGCTCTTTGCCACCAGTGGCACTTCCTTCTAGCCTTCGCCCAAAGCCCTGCACCAGGAGGCCGAAGCAGACCCCAAGTCAGAATTTCTGCCCCCCTCCAACCCACACAAAAAGACCCCAAAGGGGGAGACTCTTTGCAGCAACACAAACATTCATTGCACGTATCTGGCCCAGGGGCCGTAGTTTGAGGACACCTTATTTAATGCAATATTAAAAATGAAAATAATTTTTCTGTGGACCACCAAAATTTTCTCATGGACCACCGGTTGGAGACCGCTGGAGTAGAAGACCTCCAAGGTCCCTTCCAACTCTATTCTGATTGGTTGATTGATGTTGGAGAACAGGAAATGGGGAACCACTCATTTCCCCCACATTTGGCTTAGCATCCTCCCACCTACCCAGCATTGGTTCCAGGAATTCCCAGGTTGAATTCAGACATTGCTGTAAACCGGGGTTCTCCAAAATGGTCAATATTGACCCACCATGGTTGATGGGACATAATCCATTATGGTTATTACGGTTATTATTATTCATAGTATTACTAGCGAATGTACTTATTATGAAATCATTTTCATCTAAGAAATGTTTGGCGGTCAACGAACAAATGAAATCTCATGAAAGGGTGGATGGAAGGGGGAGAAAGACCTTGAGAAACGGGTCAAAGAGATGCTACCTAGGCAAAAGGGATGATACGATGCTATAGGCTCTGCGCATGAGAACAAGATACAAGGACAGTTTTTCCCCCGAATGCCATCACTCTGCTAAACAACTAATTCCCACAACACTGTCAAATTAACTACTAAGACTGTATTACTATTCTTCTTCTCATCCTCACTAGTACCTATCTCTTCCCACTTATGGGTATATCCATGTTGCTTGTATCTTTACAACTTCTATTGTTTTTATTGTTTCCTATAAATGTAAAAAAAGATGTTGAGACTCTAGAAAGAGTGCAGAGAAGAGCAACAAAGATGATTAGGGGACTGGAGGCGAAAACATATGAAGAACGATTGCTGGAACTGGGCACGGCTAGTCTAGGGAAGAGAAGGACCAGGGGAGACATGATAGCAGTCTTCCAATATTTGGGGGGCTCCCACAGAGAGGAGGGGGTCAAACTATTTTCCAAAGCACCTGAAGGCCAGACAAGGAATAATGGATAGAAACCAAACAAGGAGAAATTCAACCTGGAAATAAGGAGAAATTTCCTGACAGTGAGAACAATCAACCCATGGAACAGAAGTTGCCTTCAGACGTTGTGGGAGCTTCATCCCTGGAAGCTTTCAAGAAGAGACTGGACTGCCATCTGTCAAAAAGGGTGTAGGATCTCCTGCTTGGGCAGGGGGTTGGACTAGGTGACCTACAAGGTCCCTTCCAACTCTGTTAATCTGTATCTAACTCCTGGCAGAGAAAAAAATGAATAATCCAACCAAATGACCCTGAAGATCTCATTCGTTGAAAGAATCTTCATCCCTGAGAAGAGTTCTTGCAATTAAGCCACCGCCAGCTGGCCCTACTCCCGGAAGACCAAGGAGAACGTTGGCTTAGTCTCAACACCCATTCGAAGGAGGTGAAGCTGAGCCAAGCCTGATTTCTAAAGAAGCTGCAGGATCCTCTACCCTGCTGGTTTTTTGAAAGCCACAAAGATATCCCACAACCGAACACCTGGCGCAGAATTCAAGAAGACGCTTTGGGCGTTACGTACCTCGCAGTGATAGGAAAGCCAGCACCCAGACCTGAGGAAGGAAAATCATCTTGAGGTGATGCCTGATCAGCTTCCTCTCCACTTTCAATCTCAGGGGGCTTGCTGACAACTTCTCCTTTTCTACAGAGCAGCCAAAAGTCATGTACCATGACTTCATCAGTGGTAGGTCGGCCCTCTTCCTCTTGACTCCTCCTCCCTTCCCCCCCGTAGCTTCACAGTTTCCTTCACAGCAAAGGGTCAACTGATCTCCAGGCTTGCGGAAAATCTGCACCTCTCTTTGTAGAGCGTTCCACACTTCGCTTTGTGGTGAGCGCCGAAGCGCAACTCAACCACGAGTTCTTGCAAGGTGCATTGTGCATGCATCTCACAGCTTCTTGGTGGGTGCATCCTGAATTGCCTCTCGTACAAATGGGACAAGCCATGTCACACTTCTGCAGGACAGGTCAACTGCTGGTTCCTTAAAGAACTGTTGTGGCTCTGTTGCCTGAGCCTGGGCTATCTACAGATGCAGACTCTGAGAGTGAGGGAGAGCAGTTGGCACAGCCTCCCTCTCCAGGACCCTCCTCTCTGGCAATGCCTCTGGAGGACACTGAAGGCCAAGAGAGCTAAGCACATCCCCGCAGCCACAGGTGGACAGCGACAAAGGAGATAAGTGCTGGCTGGACCCTCGGCAGAGGCGCAGGGAGAAGTGTGCGCAGCAGAGGGGAAGGCGTGCCAGAGATTAGCTGAGTCACTGGACCACACCCCACAGGGTATAAATGTGGGTGTGGTGGCCGGTTCAGTTTGTGACGAGCAAAAACTAGAAATAATCCATGATCTCTGCGTTACAGGACTTCTGCCTGCCTTGTCGGACTGCATTTGGACTAATCCTTGTATTGCGGAAACTTTGCCTGCTTTATCGGAATGCTTGCAGTCTAATCTTTGTTTTGTGTGAGTAAAGTCTGAATTGGCAGCTAGCCACTGGGTTGCTGCCAGCTTTATCTTCAAAGATTTTGTCGTGTGGCTTATTAACTCCGGGCCGTCTGTGGGGGTGCGTTTGTGGGACGGGGACAGAACAGGAACATGGGTTTTTGTCTTTGTGAATAACAATGCTCCAGTGACATCAGCCTGCCTGCCTGTCTGCCTATCATCTCTCTCTCCTTCTCTCTGTTGTGGCCCGCCAGCTACCAACGGAGTTGGCAACAGACTCGGGCAATGAGGAGGTTGGGGAGGAACTTGGGCCAGCTCTGGAGTCTGGGGAAGGCTCCGATGGATGCTTTGCGTTGGAAGCAGAGAGAGAGCCAGGGCTGTCCGACATTTCCCAGCCACCGGAGAGTCAGCTGCCTTCGGAGGTGGAGATAAGTGGGGAGGAAGAACAGCTGGGGCCTGTTCCAGATGCACGAATGCGCAGAGCAGTTAGGAGAGGAGAACAACAGAAGACAAAGAGTCGACTTGGGATGCAGAGCGCACATGGATGCTGAATGGCCCCTCCCTGGCTGAGGAATAAATAGAAGGAAAGGGGAGTGGTTGTCATAGGAGACAACCGTTCGTATTTCTGAAGATTTTGCTCATTGTGTTTCGTGCCACAGAGACTGCCTGCCAGAACTTAATTTGCAGCTTTGCGGCTGGGAGCTCACCAAGGAACTGATAAGGTCTGTTACTGCAGTTAATTCTTTGAAGGACTATTGCTTGGACTTTTCGGTGGGTGAATGCCATTAATTCACAAGAGATAAATAAAGAGGAGTTTTTCGGAACAAGGAATCTGTTTCTTGTTTCTGCTAAGGCTGGGTCAGAACACTCTCTCTTATCATCTTCCTTAACCCTGATGCTAATCATAACCATTACAAGCTATTCCTGGTTACTTCCACTTGCAAACACATTGCCATGTTGATTCACAGCATGGTGGGTTTCAACATTTTTTTTACTACTGGTTCTGTGGGTGTGGCTTGGTGGGGTGGCGTGTGCAGGGGAAGGATACTGCAAACTCTCCACTCCCACCCCACTCCAGGGGAAGGATACTGAAAACTCTCCATTCCCACCCCACTCCAGGGGAAGGATACTGCAAAATCTCCATTCCCACCCCACTCCAGGGGAAGGATACTGCAAAATCTCCATTCCACCCCACCCCACCCCAGGGAAGGATACTGCAAAATCTCCATTCCCACCCCACTCCAGGGGAAGGATACTGCAATACTGCAAAATCTCCATTCCCACCCCACTCCAGGGGAAGGATACTGAAAACTCTCCATTCCCACCCCTCTACAGGGGAAGGATACCGTAAAATCTCCATTCCCTCCCCAATCCTGAGTCCTTCGGGAGTAGGGCGGTATACAAATTCAATAAAATAAATAAATAAAAATAAATCCAGGGGAAGGTTATTCCAAAATCCCCATTTCTTCCCGATCAGCTGGGACTCGAGAGGCAGAGAATAGATGGGGGCGGGGCCAGTCAGAATTTTTACTACCAGTTCTCCAAACTACTCAAAATTTCCGCTACCAGTTCTCCAGAACTGGTCAGAACCTGCTGAAACCCACCTCTGATTCACAGCAGGCAAATAGCCCCAACACTTATCTGTTTCAGGCCCCGCCCTGGGCACCCCCAAAAATCATGGACATCCTTCCAAGCGGCCATGTCAACCTTGCCCTAACACTTTGATTTGTAGAAATGTGGCGTTGCACTTACCCGATTGATTCTGCTTCCAGCACAACCCCTTGCGAGTAGTGCTACCTAAATTCCTCCTCTTATTCAATGTTTATCCCATGTGCTACTACAAGGGTTGTGTTCCATTGGTTATCCAGTGCTGTTGATGGACTTTAGAGGAAGTGAAAACAGGACTGTCCTTGCAAATGAGACGTATAAAAAAAGTCCCGCATCTTGCAATGAAGTGCATTCTTGCCAAACCCCAAAAGAACCGAAAACCAAATTTATTGGGATGATTCAGGACAAACAAGATGATTAGGGGACTGGAGTAGAGGTGGGTTTCAGCAGGTTCTGACCAGTTCTGGAGAACCGGTAGCGGAAATTTTGAGTAGTTCGGAGCACCGGTAGTAAAAATTCTGACTGGCCCCGCCCCCATCTATTCTCTGCCTCCCGAGTCCCAGCTGATCAGGAGAAAATGGAGATTTTGCAGTAACCTTCCCCTGCTATGCCCACCAAGCCATGCCCACCAAACCATGCCATGCCCACCAAGCCACACTCACAGAACCGGTAATAAAAATTTTTTAAACCCACCAGTGGACTGGAGGCTAAAACATACGAGGAACGGTTGCAGGAACTGGGCATGGCTAGTCTAAGTGAAGAGAAGGACCAGGGAAGACATGATAGCCGTCTTCCAATATTTGAGGGGCTGCCACAGAGAGGAGGAAGGGGGTCAAGCTATTTTCCAAAGCACCTGAAGGTCAGACAAGGAATAATGGATGGAAACTGACCAAGGAGAGATTCAACCTGGAAATAAGGAGAAATTTACTGATTTCTCCTTATTTCAGAGATTGGAGAACAATCAACCAATGGAAGTTGCCTTCAGAAGTTGTGGGAGCTTCATCACTGGAGGCTTTCAAGAAGAGACTGGACTGCCATTGGTCAGAAATGGTGTAGGGTCTCCTGCTTGGGTGGGGGTGGGGGGTTGGACTAGATGACCTACAAGGTGCCTTCCAACTCCTTTTAAATCCCTTTTTGCTCTGAGGGACTCACTCCCTCGTAAATTTTATGCAACTTGCGATGTCTGTTCCTTAGTTACGATGGGAAAGGGAGAATAATATCCCAATCTATTTGTTATGTACCCTTTGAGAAAGGGTTTAGAAAGGGTCTACCACATCCTGTTTTAGTTGTCCTTCCTGCCAAATTGGAAACCACCGTATGCTAACTAACTTAGAAGAGCAACAAAGAGGATTAGGGGACTAGAGGCTAAAACATATGAAGAACGGGTGCAGGAACTGGTATGTCTAGCTTAATGAAAAGAAGGACAAGGGGAGACATGATAGCAGTCTTCCAATATCTGAGGGGCTGCCCCAAAGAAGAGGGAGCCAAGCTATTCTCCAAAGCACCTGAGGGAAGGACAAGAAGCAATGGGTGGAAACTAATCAAGGAGAGAAGCAACTTAGAACTAAGGAGGAATTTCCTGACAGTGAGAACAAATAATCAGTGGAACAACTTGCCTCCAGAAGTTGTGAATGCTCCAACACTGGAAGTTTTTGAGAAGAGATTGGACAACCATTTGTCTGAAGTGGTGCAGGGTTTCCTGCCTGAGCAGGGGGTTGGACTAGAAGACCTCCAAGGTCCCTACTCTACTCTACTCTACTCTACTCTACTCTGCTCTGCTCTGCTCTGCTCTGCTCTGCTCTGCTCTGCTCTGCTCTACCCTACCCTACCCTACCCTATCCTACTCCATTCCATTCCATTCCATTCTATTTGCTCCCAGACCGTGAGCCCAAATAATATTATGGGGAGACAGTGAGAGGAAGGAAAAATAAATAAATGTACACTTTGAATAGTGCAGTTGTGAGAAACTGAGACCGATTTCTTTTATTGAGATCAATTTCTTTTCAAATGACAACATGTGGAAATTGAGCAGTAACAGAAAGGAAACATACTGTAAGCAGCAATTCTCTCCTTTAGCACACACACACAAACACAAAATTCACATCCAAATGAAAAATCTGCAAAAGGAGGCCTAGGATTTCCCTTTCATACCAGATAACACTCCCAAAAACTTAAAAGCAACAGTAAAGAAAGGACGTTGCTTATTTAGCACCAATCCCTTTAAACAGAAAATCGTAGTTCACTCCAAACTCCTTGCAAACTCTTTTAAAAAAACAAAACAAAACAACAACAATAAGAAGAAAACACAACGAAAAACTAACATTTGGTTGTGGGAAGGTGATTAGGTAAACCTTTCCCAAAGATTCCCAAAATATATATTTTTGCATGTCATTTTTTTTGTTTGTTTAAGCTTCTTTGCTTCCGATTTCCCTGAATTCAGCAGTTTCCTTTTTTAGAGAGAAGTTTCTCTTCCCCAAATCAGTGCACAAATTCACTAAAAGAGCTACGTGGTGGGGAAAAAAATGGACGGTTATCCAATCATCCGGTACATAAGAGTCCAATAGTAACAATGGAGTTAAAAACCTGGGACGTGTACTTAGTGAACGAATTTTGATACATTAAAGATTAAATCTACTTTGGGGATGGATGCTACTCAACTTTCTTTCTTTCTTTCTTTCTTTCTTTCTTTCTTTCTTTCTTTCTTTCTTTTTCTTTCTTTTTTCTTTCTTTCCCCTCCCTTCCTCTCTCTTCCTTCCTTCCTTCCTTCCTTCTTCTCTCTTTCTTTCTTTCTTTCCCTCCCTCCCCCCTTTCTTTCTTTCTTTCTTTCTTTCTTTCTTTCTTTCTTTCTTTCTTCTTTCTTTCTTTTTCTTTCTTTCTTTCTTTCTTTCTTGTACAGTACATCATTAAATATGAACAACCTGCAAGCTGTCAGTGCAAAAAAAAAAAAAAAGAAGAAAGAAAATTCCCGCTCCAATTAAATACATTATCAGTCAACAATAGGTCGGCGTTGATTGTCAAACACAGTTCAAAGATCACAAAGACTCTTCCAGAAAAACCAGCCTGAAGAAGAAGCTAGATTCTCGGTTCGTTTTTAGAATATCTGTACATAGCCAAAAATATTTTAAATTACATACATACATACATACATACATACATACATACATACATAGACGTATGTATGTATTTACAGGGATGTGTGTGTCTATACACATATGTATACATTCCCAAAAATACTAGCAGCAACCAACGGTATAATACAAGGCCTGCAATTGTTCTCCTGCTCTCAGCTGCATCTTCTTGACTGTACATCCCTGGTTAAAAATAACACTTTTCAGAATGCCTTGCTTACTTTTACATGGGTAGAATATACATAATTTAAGTAAATTTACATATTGCACACAAGGAGCTTTCAGGGATCGGCGTAGCTCCCTCTGCTACCCTTGGTGGAAAGTTCCTTTTTAAAAGCAAAAGCTTATCCTATATATAGATATATATGTGTAAGATGCAAATGGCATTATTATGTATTCGAACCCGGCCAGGTGGCAGCTCTGTTCGGAGCTGGCCAGCCCTACCCTTTGGCAGAATTCAGGAAGGCGTCAAACAAGGTTTGGAGGCGTAAGCTATGTGCCCGGAGAACCAACTCGGTGCTACTCTCAACTAGTCTTTGAGCCTTTTGAGGTGCAGTCATGAAGGCGGTGGTCGATGGGACCCAATCGCTACCGCGGTTGAAGAAAGATTCACCTTGGCAGTTGGGTTGACTTTGGTACGTGGATTAAAAGGGAGCACCGTTTCGATAGTTACTTTAGGGTAGCACAATATTTCGGGTGGAACTGAAGCTGATTGTTCTACCATTTAAGCAAGGGTGAAATGCTACCGGTTCACTCCAGTTCGAGTGAACCTGTAGCGGCGGTGGTGTGTGGTTCGGCGAACCGGTAGTAGTGGCAGCGTGAGGCTCCACCCACCTGCCCGGGTGTCGTTACTTCCTGGTTAAAACCAGGAAGTAACAACATCCGGGCGGGTTAAAACCAGGAAGTAACCTGCTTTTGACCTTTGCACATGCGCAGAGGGTCCAAAATCGAACATGATGATGACACACGCACTTCCGAACCGGTAGGGAAGGTAAGTAGATTTCACCCCTGCATTTAAGCCACTCATAGCACTAAGGAATATAGGTCGTCCTTGAACTTACAACCATTCGTTTAGCAACTGTGGGGAGTGCTGACAAAATGACTTACAACCCGTAAGGGTCACGTGATCAAAATTTGGGCATTCGGCAACCGGCATATATTTGTGACGGCTGCAGCATCCCTGAGGTCATGTGATGGCCATTTGTGACCTTCCCAGGGGTCTTCTGACAATGGGGAGTTGGATCCGTTTAATGACCATGCGATTCACTTAACCACCGCAGGAACAAGAATCATAAAACCGTCCGCGGCTCACTTAACAACGGCATTGCTTAGCAACAGAGGATCTGCTCCCCAGTGGAGGACTACTGGTAATGTATGAACCCTAGTTAACCAAGTTTAGCGTTGTAACTTATTTGTAAGAGGCGGTATCTGCTGGGGCCAACTTCATGTCTGGTGAAACTATCTTAAGATACTTATTGTCCCAACCGGACACCCCAAATAATAATAATAATAATAATACTTTCTTGGAGGTTTTATACTGGCCTTGAGTGTAGTTGCAGGTAAAAGCTGTACCTTGAAGCTGCCTAAAATGGATGAAAAGTATCACGTTTTTCAAACCATTTGATTAACCAATTGTTGATCAATTCAACGTCGCATTTAAACAACATTAAAATGGCACCGAAAAACAGACCTACCCAAATCTTAAAGACAACCCCCCCTCCCACGATTTCTATGAATTCTGAACTCGCATTTTCTGGGTGCATTTTTAATGATACAAGCTCTCTTATATCAAGTTGTTATTAAATAATTTGTCTAGTTCTGTTAGCAACTAGACCTCCCCTCTTTAATTCTCAGTCCCCAACTTCACAGGAGGAAAGCCAACAGGCATCATAATATTTTGAACGCTCAAGATTACCATCCAGTTTAATCCCGTGACTAGATATATCCAGAATCGGATCTTGCGTGTTGCATGGGTTTAATCTAAGAGCTGTTCCAGTGGCAACCAGACTTTTTCTCATAATGTCTCAGAGTCACAGACGGAAGCCCTTCCATCTAAGACCCTTGCTTTCCTCTGTTTCAGGATAGGACCGGCTCTGAGTACAAACAGCCACAAAGTGAGAACACTTTCAGTGGCTTCTTCGCGCAAGGAATTCTGAATGCTAATTGCCCCCCAAAAAACCAGTTAGGACAAATGTACAAAAAGAACGAAACAAGTCCATCCGAACCTTTGCGGAAACCAATCGTTGTAAGGAACTTGTGAAGTTTTGAAAAGTTGATATTCTGAAGCGTCAGGTAGAGGGGAAAAATAGGGGTGGGGAGGAGGAGGAGGATAATTAAATGTTTATAGAGAAGAATTGTTGTCCTGCAGGTAAAAGCCCAGTTGATGAAAAGAGTACTTAACGGTGACTTTTCTGAGCAATATTTATGAAAAAGAAAGAAAAAAAAATGCATGGAAGAGCTGGCTCATGAGGGTTGAAGACGATGGCTTTAAGGGCCACAAAACCCCACGTTCAACGTGCCCACCCAATCTGTCCATCTTTGAGTTGTAGGTTCAACATGGTTGACTCTTAACATCAAGAGGTGGTGATCGTGGTTGAAATACATCATTGCCAATAAAGTACAGAGTTTCTCCAGTCTCTTTAACTAGACAATTGTTTCCCTTGAGGTTTTTCCAGTATGGCGAGATAACGTAGGTAGTCCCTGACTTACAACCATTTGTTCAGTCACCATTCCCAGTTGCAACGGCGCTGAAAAAAAAACCCTGACATATGTTGTGGTCTGCTAGCAGCCTGCGGAGCTGGCAGTGGAGTCAGACAGTGATGAGGCTGAGGAAGAACATGGGCCAGTCCTGGAGGCTGGGGAAGGCCCGGATGAGGGCTCTGCATCAGAGGCAGAGATGGGGCCAGGGCCATCGGGGAGTGATGTGCAGACTTCGGAGCCTCCAGAGGCTGACAGCAGAGAGGCAGAGGAACAGGAGGACCCTGTTCCTAGTGCACGCATGAGAAGAGCTGCCAGAAGGCAAGAGCAGGTGAAGCAAAAAGGACGACTCGGGAGTAGGGCCAAGAGATGATTGGCCCCTCCCATAAGGCTTAAAAGACCAGCAACAGCTCTTGGGCTCTTTGTCGGAAAACAACGTTGATAGATTTGTTTCTTGTCTTGCTGCATTTATTTCTTGTCGGCGTCTTCTGCTTCTGAACTTTTGCCAAGAGAAGCCTTTGGCAGGTTGCCAAAGTAGACCAAGGTTGGTGATAAAGCTGAAGAATTGTGTTATGAAGAGTTTGTTTTGAATTAGTTTGGTCTATGCTGAGAACGAGTTAATTCTCAGCTGTTCTAATAAAGTCTGTTTATTTTCGAACTGATTGCGTCTGATAATACCTACTTGGGCCTGGGTCACAACACCACATGACCATTTTGAGCTTAAATGGTCTCCAGGGGATGGTAGAGGACAAGAAGGCTTGGAGGAACATTGTCCATGAGGTCATGATGAGTCGGACACGACTTTGCAACTAACGACAAATGACCATTTTCCATACTTTCGACCTTTGCAGCATCCCCATGCTCATGTGATCAAAATCCAGACGCTTGGCAACTAGTTCGTATTTATGACGGTCGCAGTGTCCCGGGGTTACGTGATGCCCTTTTGCGACCTTTTGACAAGCAAAGTCAACGGGGAAGCCAGATTCATTTAACAACCGGGTTACTAACCGAACAAGGGCAGTGATTCACTTGATTGTGGCAAGAAAGGTCATGAAATGGGGCAGAACTCCCTTAACGATTGTCTCGCTTAGTAACAGAACTTTTGGGCTCAGTTTGTGGTTGTAAGTCAAAAGATTACCTGGACATCTTTAGTGTGCAAACAAGAGTTCCCTGTATAAAAATCTCTCTCCTTTTTTTTTTTTGCATTCCGATTCCTTTTGTTCATTTCGAATATCAGTTCGTAAACCCTGTCCTGACAATACTAGAAAAATTAAATATACTGTTACGTTAGGCAGCCTTCTCTGTTTTGACCTGAACTTTTTCTTCCACAGAAAAAATAATTTTACAAAATTGTATGGTGCACCTAACATGAAATGAAATCCACAGTTTACGACTTTGTTGCTAACAATTATATAGAAGGCAGTGAAAACAAGTTTTCCTTCCTTAGACCTTAATTCCAAATTTAAAAAAATTCTGGAAATTATATATTTATCTATCTATCTATCTATATATATACATAAATACATACATAGAGATATACATTAAAACTCAATGGCTTACATCAGAGAGACTTATCTGCTGGACAGGAGACTGAAGAGACAAAGAATGAAAATAAATTGGAATACCGTTATATTTTCCCACAATCCAAGCAGATGCTATATTTGCTAATTTTTCCCACCCCCTAGAAGTGCCGTTCGGTGGCAGATATGCTTAACTGTTATTTTTAAAGCCATTTCCAGGGCTAGGAGTAATTTTCTCCACCATCAATATTTTCTGTTTTTTTGTTTGTTTGTTTGTTTTTTTAAAAAAAACTTTCTAGGAGGTGAGAGACGTGCTCCAGTTTTTAAGAAACTTCTTTTTCCTGTCCTTCTGACTTTCCCCCCTCGCTTTTCGGCCTTATTCTTGGAGCAGAGTTTCTCTCCAGTTAAATCCGCCGGTTGGTCCGTGAGTGAGTGGCAGGATAGGTGGATCGGTCAGTTGCCAAAGTCCAGTATCTCCAAGCTCTTCACAACAGCAGAAGCCCAGGTAGGGAATCTGAATGGAAGGAAAAGAAACATCAGCGAGAGTTTTAACAGAATGATAAAAGTTGGAAGGGACCTTGGAGGTCTTCTAGTCCAACCCCCTGCTTAGGCAGGAAACCCTACACCACTTCAGACAAATGATTGTCCAACATCTTCTTAAAAACTTCCAGTGTTGGAGCATCCACAACTTCTGCAGGAAAGTTGTTCCACTGATTAATTGTTCTGACTGTCAGGAAATTTCTCCTTAATTCTAAGTTGCTTCCCTCCTTGATTAGTTTCCACCCATTGCTTCTTCTCCTGCCCTCAGGTGCTTTGGAGAATAGCTTGACTCCCTCTTCTTTGGGGCAGCCCCTGAGATATTGGAAGACTGCTATCATGTCTCCTCTAGTCCTTCTTTTGATTAAACTAGACATACCCAGTTCCTGCAACTGTTCTCCATATGTTTATATGCAACTGTTCTTCATATGTTTTAAGAAGGGACGAGACAGTCATTTGTCTGACATAGTCTAGGTTCTTCTGCTTGAGCAGGGGGCTGGACTAGAAGACCTCCAAGGTCCCTTCCAGCTCTATTCTATTCTTATTCCATTCTAGCCAAGAAGTTGCAGGCCAGTAACTGGATTTCAGTATGATTGGTCAAATAACATTAGGCGGTGTTTAGAGAGGGGGGAAAACACCTTTCAGCTCAGGAGCCTGAGTGCATAGGAGGCTAATGCCTCCTCAGGCAGCATTTAGCATCCAGCTGCCTGAAATTACTGCGAGTTCAATTCTTACCAGGCTCAAGGTCGACTCAGCCTTCCATCCTTTCTAAGGTGGGTAAATTGAGGACCCAGTTTGTGGGGGCAATAAGCTGACTTTGTATAAATATACAAAAGTATGAAGGCTATTGCTTAATGCATTGTAAGCCGCCCTGAGTCTCTGGAGAAGGGCGGCATATAAATCAAATTTAAAAAAAAATTGTTGTGGTCCGCCAGCAGCCTGCGGAGCTGGCAGCGGAGTCAGACAGCAATGAGGCTGAGGAAGAACATGGGCCAGTCCTGGAGGCTGGGGAAGGCCCGGATGAGGGCTCTGCGTCAGAGGCAGAGATGGGGCCAGGGCCATCGGGGAGTGATGTGTGGACTCTGGAGCCTCCAGAGGCTGACAGTAGAAAGGCAGAGGAACAGGAGGAGCCTGTTCCTAGTGCACGCATGAGAAGAGCTGCCAGAAGGCAAGAGCAGATAAAGCAGAGAGGACGACTCGGGAGTGGGGCCAAGAGATGATTATCCCCTCCCATAAGGCTTAAAAGACCAGCAATAGCACTTGGGCTCTTTGTCGGAAAACAACGTTGAGAGAATTGCTTCTTGTTTCACTGTATTCATTTCTTGCTGGCGTCTTCTGCTTCTGAACTTTTGCCAAGAAAAGCCTTTGGCAGTTTGCTTAATTATCCCAAGGTCGGTGATAAACTGTGGAATGGTGTTTTGAAGAATTTGCTTTAATTTAGTTTGGACTACACTGAGAGTGAGTTAATTCTCAGCTGTTCTAATAAAGTCTATTTGTTTTCGAACTGTTTGTATTTAATACTAACTACTTGGGCCTGGGTCACAACAGCCATGCACTTCCTCTACGCAATTACAATTTTGTTTCAGGGGCGCGGAAGCAACACACGTGTCGAAAATGCAAAAGAGAAGTGGAGGCTGAAATAACCTTTTCGAAACACTAAGTCTATCATGCACAGTCAGAATTAATTGCTCTGCAAATGTGCATCGACGTGCACAATTTCATGGGCATCATCAACTGTTTGTCTAAATGAGGTAGGGGACAATCCCTTTCAAGCTATCTCCCCTGCTCATGGGGTTCTTGTGCTCAGACAATAAGCTTAGGGATCACGCCTGACTGAATAAAGCATGTTTTGGAGTCGCGTAAGAAGATTTTCATCTGGGCAGAAACAAAATCACATCTAAAGAGCTTTATCTTGTCAGCATGTCAATCACCTTCCGGACCATCTGGACAAAATCCTTCGAATTCTGCGGTGACAGTCCTTGTAGCTGGCAGGTACAGGCCTCCAGGGAGGATGCGTGTGCAACGATCAAAATGTTATTCCCTGCAGTTAAAAAACAAAACAAAACAACAACAGATAAACACAGAATCACATGGATTTAAGTTTCCCAGGGATGAGCTCTCTGAGGCCCAGATGCAAAACTTTGATGTGGGTTTGATGAGGCTGGTGGGTTTTCCAGTCCAAAGCAGCTCCAAGAGGCTGTCCTTTTGAGCTGAAGGTAGTGAGAAGTTGAGAAAGTAGAGAACCGCTATACACAGATACCGGGTTTTTTTTTCTCTACTTATAATCAATTTCTTCCTATCCTGCTTTCCCACAATCTCGGGTGGAATCTCCTTCCTTTATTCAACGTAACCATTTCCATAAGGTACCTTTTCAACCCAATGCATTGCAAGCCAAGCCAAGCCAACACAATGCAACTCAATCCAACCCAACCCAACTCAACTCAACACAACTCAACACAATGCAATTCACTACACACAGACACCAGTTTTTTGTCTACTTATAATCAATTTCTTCCTATCTTGCTTTCCCACAATCTCTGGTAGCATTTCCTTCCTCTTCTTCCTTTATTCAACATAACCATTTCCATAAGATGCATTTCCAATGCATTGCAAGCCAACCCAACCCAACCCAACCCAATGCAACTCAACCCAACCCAACCCAACCCAACTCAACTCAACCCAACTCAACTCAACACAACACAATGCAACTCAACCCAACACAAAGCAATCCCAATGCAAGGCATCCTAACTCAACCCAACCCAACCAACCCAACTCAATGTAGAGGTAAGGTTTGAGACATTTGAAATGGGGAAGAAAAGAGCTACCTACTCATTAGTTGGATTAATTATTTTGGCCAAAATTAAATGAGTTTAAATCAAGGTCCATACAGTCAATGGGAGGAGATTAAGCAACAATAAATTCTCGTGCCATCTTTTCCCAAGAGCATCTCTTTACATGGGATGGGACTTCTTATTTTTTTTCCCTAACTTTGTACATAACAGAATAGAGAGGTTTGCTGTTTGCAACTTTTTTTTTTAAAGAGAGAAAGCCTATTTACAATGTTCACGAGTTTCCCCTCCTAAAGCAGGACAATGGTTTCCTCTTCTGCCTTGTCTTCACAATCCTATCCTACCGTAATCTTGAGTGGCAGTGTTACATACACAGGTAGTCCCCGATTTACGACCACAAGTGAGCCCAAAATTTCTGCTGCTAAGCGAAGACATTTGCTTTGCTCCATTTTACGCCTTTTCTTGCCACCTTTGTTAAGCGAATCACTGCACTTGTTAAGTTGGTAATTATGGTTGTTAAGTGAATCCGGCTTCCCCATTGACTTTGCTGGTCGAAAGGTCGTAAAAGGGAATCACATGACCCTGGGACACTGCGACCGTCATAGATAGAAATCCATTGTCAAGCATCTGAATTTTGATCGTGTTACTGTGGGGATGCTACAACGGTTGGAAGTGTGAAAAACGGTTGTAAGTTGCTTTTTTCAGTGCCATTTTAAATCGTCACTAAACGAACCATTGTAAGTCAAGGACTGCCTGTATCTCTTAATCTAATCTTACTGTTCTCCTCTTCCTCAGGGTGCAATTATACTTGCCTTTAGCTTTGCATTCACTTAGAATTTCCTTGGTGACCTGGAAACTTCTGCTGATGTAGGTTTCATACGATTCAGAAATTCCTAATTTGTTCACGGCTAAATGAGGTCTGTGGACGTTAAAAAAAGAAGAAGAAGAAAGCAAAAAATCCAAGTATTGTAAGAAGAAAACACTCAGCTACCATTCTCTGTTCTTGTCTTTCTGCTTCCTATTTTTGTTTGTTTTTTTCTTATTACTTGGCACTCCTTTAATCTCCCAGAATTGGGTTTGTGAGATGAATCAATCGAAATAAATAAATACAAACAAATAAGAGAATAATGGCATTGGAAGGGACCTTGGAGGTCATATAGTCCAACCGCCTGCTCGAGCAGAAGACTCCATATCATTCCAGACAAATGGTTGTCCAATCTCTTCTTGAAAACCTCCAGTGTTGGAGCATCTACAACTTCTGGAGGCAAGTCCTTCCTCTGAGTAATTGTTCTAACTGTAGGTTGGTTCTTTCCTTGTTTAGTTTCTTCATAAGTCCTTCTTTTCATTAAACATGACATGGCCAACCCCTGGAACAGTTGCTCTTACCTGTATGTTGTATCAACACTCAAACTGGCTGCAGCTAAATCCAGGGGTGGGATCCAGGCTGGCAGAGAATTCCCTGGCACCCATTTGGTCCATTCAAACAACCCTGGCTCGACTCGAATCTTCAGGTTATTTTCTTGTTGCAAGCCTATAGAAAGAAAGAAAGAGAGAGAGAGAGAGAGAGAGAGAGAGGGAGAGGGAGAGGGAGAGGGAGAAAGAAAGAAAGAAAGAAAGAAAGAAAGAAAGAAAGAAAGAAAGAGAAAGAAAGAGGGAGGGGAAGGAAGGAAGGAAAGAAAGAAAGAGGGAAGGAAGGAAGGAAGGAAGAAAGGGGAAGGAGGAAAGAAAAAGAAAAGAAAGAAAGAAAGAGAGAGGGAGAGAAAGAGGGAGAGGGAGAAAGAAGGAAAGAAAGAGAAAGAAAGAAAGAAAGAAAGAGGGAGGGAGGGAGGGGAAGGAAGGAAGGAAAGAAAGAAGAGGGGAAGGAAGGAAGGAAGGAAGAAAGGGGAAGGAAAGAAAGAAAGAAAAAGAAAGAAAGAAAGGGAAGGAAGGAAGGAAGGAAAAGAAAGAAAGGAAGGAAGAGGGAAGGAAGAAAGAAAGAAAGGGGAAGGAAAGAAAGAAAGAAAAAAGAAGGAAGGAAGGAAGAGAAAAAGAAAGAAAGAAAAGAGAGAGGGAGGGAGGGAGGGAAGAAAAAGAGGGAAGGAAGGAAGGAAGGAAAGAAAGAAAAAGAAAGAAAGAAAGAAGGAGGGAAAGATGAAAGGAAGAAAGAAAGAAAAAGGGAGGGAGGAAAGAAAAAGAGGGAAGTAAGGAAAGAGAAAGAAAGAAAAAGAAAGAAAGAAAAGAAAAGATGGAAAGAAGGAAGAAAGGAAGCGGAATAGAAAGAATAAGGAAGGAAGGAGCATAATATAAAAAAAAGCATTTGAGACCAACGCTTCATAATAATACAGTACATGCCATTTGCAAATGTTTGTGTTTCCTTCCCGATGAACAACTTTGGCCTCTTGGCTCTCTGTTTTTATCAACTGCACGTTGCGCGGCGCGTCAATCACAATTCTGACGGGCTCAAACAGAATTTTACAGAAATGTAGGAACAAGCGCTCCGTCTCATCCCTAGGACGGCCTGGGCCAGGGGTGTCCCTCGGGGAAACCCACCTCAACCCACCCAGCGACTTACCTTTCAGGATATGATGTGCGGTCTGCACACAGCGCAGCGACGGAGAACAGTAGATGTGGTGGATGACTGTGTTGCTTTCAAGAAGAGCCTCGCCTGTACGGAGACACGGGGTTCAAAAGGAAGGACACAGCTGTGCCTTGCAAGATACCGAGGGCCAAACTGGCTTTTTTGCAAGCTAGGAAAATTGGGTCACTAAATGAATGCTGTAAGTCTGGGACTACCTGCATTTCATAAAATCAATAAATAAAGTCCTAAAAAAATCAGTTGGATCACATTACGGTCCTAATTCAAGGACTCCCTGTATTATTATTTATACTGTAATGTATTGTAGTTGCTGTTGGTTTGACTTTATAGAGAAGACATTGGAAATGAGTTGTTGTTGTTATTATTATTATTATTATTATTATTATTATGATTTATTGAATTTCTATATCTAGGACTCAGGGCGGTGAACAGAATAAGATTTCATATACATATAATAATTTATTTTTCTTTGAGTTTGGCCAAAGAGAATATTTTTGCTTCGTTGCCATTTCTGATTTCAAATTGATCACATGAGCTATCGTAGGTTTTTACAAATTTGGGCAGATAATTTCCCCATGTTTGCATTTTTGGGGAGAAAAAGCAGCTAAAACTGGAGTTGCTCAGACACTAAAGGAGGAAAATATTTCACAGCAAAGAAGTTAGAAAGGAGAGAGGAGGAGGGGGTAGGAAGAGGAGAGGGAGGGTGAGGAATGGAAGAAAGGAGAGGAGGAAGGGAAGGGAAGGGGACAGGAGTAGGAGTGAAGGTGAGAAGGGGGAAAAGAAGAGAGAAGTGGGGGAAAGGAAAAGGAAGTAGGATGAGGTGGGAGAGAAGGCAGGAGAAAGTAGGAGAGAAGAGGAGGGAGGGAAGGGAAAGAAAGGAGGAGAAGAAGAAGGTTTGTTGTGGAATGAGGGAAGAAAGAGAAGAAGAGCAACTCCGAATGTAATTAAAATGTCTTATTTTAATGCTTTCTTTAAGGGAAACATGTATGTGTAGGATTTCTTATGTATAAGAAAATGTACAATTTCTATTATTTCTTATAAAACTTTTCAATAAAATAATAAAAAAAAGCAGCTAAAACTGTGACCTGCAAGGCAGTAACCCCATTCGGCCTCTAGATGGCAGTCATGCTGCAAAAAACAATTTTCCCATCCAACGTGTATTCCTTTTTAAAAGCTTTAGTTCATTTTGAGTGGTGTGTTATCACATTGTCACTCTGGAAAATGTGAGACTTGCAGTGGGGCATTGCAGAATTTCATTTCCATGGACTCCTGGGGAAGGGGCAGAGGTCGGAGATCATTCCGCCGGTGACATTGGTTGACCCGAGTGACACAATTGGCGTCATTGACACAAATGTTGTCAGTGGAGAAGCTGCAGCCAAACTGGGCCAGTGGCAAGCAAGGCAGTGCTGGGGAGGCATGGGAAAGGGAAGCTTCGCAGAGTGGGGGGAGAGGAAATAGTTCCCTGTGAGCGGCAGGCGTGCGTGCTTACACGCGCAGCTCCGTTTGCACGAGTAACAGCACTCGCACAAATGGAGCTTTGCATGCGTACGTGAGTGCTCGCTACTCACGCAAATGGAGCTGCGTGCACAGGCTCGCCTGCTACTTGTGTGGCCCGGTTCCAAAGGCCCAGGATTGGGGACCTCTGCTTTAGACCAGGGGTGTCAAACTTTCCTCTGGATGGGGAGGAATAGGCTCAGGCTCAACCCATCCAAGACCGAGTGGCTGTGGTTTCCGATGTCCCAATATAGTCAATTGACGCCATCTCTGACTATTGGGGGCGAATCGCTGGCCCCCATGGAGAGGGCTCGCAACTTGGGTGTCCTCCTGGATTCACGGCTGTCTTTAGAAGAGCACTTGACGGCCGTGACCGGGAGGATTTTTCATCAGGTTCGGCTGATTCGCCAGTTGCGTCCCTTTCTGGATCAGGACTCCCTACACATACCCTCGTCACCTCCCGCCTGGACTATTGTAACGCTCTCTACATGGGGCTCCCCTTGAGGAGCACCTGGAGGCTCCAACTGGCGCAGAGTGCGGCCGCGCAGGTGGTTATGGGAGCAACATGGTGCTCCCATGTGTCACCTCTCCTACGCGAGCTGCACTGGCTCCTGGTAGTCTTCCGGGTGCGCTTCAAGGTTCTGGTTACCACCTTTAGAGCGCTCCATGGCTTAGGACCTGGTTATTTACAGGACCGCCTACTACCACCAATATCCTCCCACCGACCGGTACGCTCTCATAGAGAGGGGCTCCTCCGGGTGCTGTTGACTGGCGGCCCCTAGGGGAGAGCCTTCTCTGTGGGGGCACCTACTATCTGGAATGAGCTCCCCCCGGAGATACGGAGGATCCCGGGAGCTTCCACCGCGCTCCCAAGACCTTTTTATTCCACCAGGCGGGCCTGGCCTAATCTTTTCCCCTTTCTTTTAAATTTTTAAATTAAAATTTTAATTTGTTTTAAATTATTGGGATTTTTCATTGTCTTGGGCTAAATTATTTAATTTGGTTTTAATTATGTTTCTAACTTTTGTATTTATGTATTTTATTCTGTGCCTGTTCACCGCCCTGAGTCCTTCGGGAGTAGGGCGGGATATAAATTTAATAAAACATAAAACAAACAAACAAATTTCATTGAAGGCCGCATCAGGGCTGTAGTTGATCGTGGGAGGACTGGGAGGGGGGGCTGACTGGGTGGGTGTGGATGACTGGGTGGGTGTGGCCAGCTTGACGCCACTCCCCAAACTCCTGGCATGTTTCCTCTTCACACTGGGTAGACGGGGCTAAAGGGATACGAGTAGGCCCCTTACATTTTCCAGGATGGCCCCACGGGCCAGATCCAGGGGTGCTATCCAACAGGTTCTGGAAATTTTGAGTAGTTCGGAGAACTAGCAAATACCATCTCTGGCTGGCCCCAGAGTGGAGAGGGAATGGGGATTTTGCAGTATCCTTTCCCTGGAGTGGGGAGGGAATGGGGATTTTGCAGTATCCTTCCCCTGGAGTGGGGAGGGAATGGGGATTTTGTAATATCCTTCCCCTGGAGTGGGGAGGGAATGGGGATTTTGCAATATCCTTCCCCTGGAGTGGGGAGGGAATGGGGATTTTGTAATATCCTTCCCCTGGAGTGGGGAGGGAATGGGGATTTTGCAATATCCTTCCCCTGGAGTGGGGAGGGAATGAGGATTTTGCAGTATCCTTCCCCTGGAGTGGGGAGGGAATGGAGATTTTGCAGTATCCTTCCCCTGGGGTGGGGAGGGAATGGAGATTTTGCAGTATCCTTCCCCTGGAGTAGGGAGGGAATGGAGATTTTGCAGTATCCTCCCCCCAGAAGTGGGGAGGGAATGGAGATTTTGCAGTATCCTTCCCCTGGAGTGTGGAGGGAATGGGGATTTTGCAGTATCCTTCCCCTGTCATGCCCATCAAGTCACACCATGCCCACCAAGCCATGCCCACAGAACCGGTAGTAAAAAAAATTGAATTCCACCAATGGCCAGATCCGACCATATCACAGGCCGAATCTGGCCCGTGGGCCTTGTGTTTGGCAGCCCTCCTTTAGACAAAGAGTTTGCGAGGACAAAGATCCACCTTTTCAACATGCCCCTTACCGCCCCAACCCCTGAGCAGGCGAACTCACCCACAAGCCGGGCTTGCGTGCATCCCAACACCGTGATGGGGGCATCCTTTTCGTACTCCCTAAAACCGCCGCTCCGCTGAGGCAAATTGTGAGGCATATTCAGATTTGTGCGGATGTATCTTCCTGTTTGGAGACACGGAAGAGTGCCAGATAAGAAGATTCCTCCAGGACGCAATGACTTAACATCAAGATAAAAGTCAAGCTCAACTCTTGGTAGCATCTGGGAAGCTTTCTTGGCGCCGTTAAAGAAAGGGTTTGCCCCCAATCGAGTTCTGGGGGGTGGAGTGGTGGTGGGCTTGGCCTCCAGGGTCCAAAGCTGAGGAGGCTGATGGCCTCTCCTTCCAAAATATAATTTGATTTGAAACTTGGTCTTCTTCTGAGATCAGCCAAGGTTGGCCAGGTGTTGGACCTCTTGTCCATTAATGGGATGACCTGGCAATTTTGGGATTGGTACCATGGGGTGTGTCTGTCTGTCTGTCTGTCTGTCTGTCTGTCTGTCTCTCTCATCCATCCATCCATCTATATATCTATCATCTATTATCAATGTCTTCATCATCATCTATCTCTATGTACTCTCTCTTTCCTAATCTATCTCTATCATCTATGTATGTATGTATGTATGTATGTATGTATGTATGTATGTATGTATCTATCTATCTATCTATCTATCTATCTATCTATCTATCATCCATCCATCCATCCATCTATCTATCTATCTATCTATCTATCTATCTATCATCCATCCATCTATCCATCCATCTATCTATCATCTATTATCAATGTCTTCATCATCATCTATCTCTATGTACTCTCTCTTTCCTAATCTATCTCTATCATCTATGTATGTATGTATGTATGTATGTATGTATGTATCTATCTATCTATCTATCATCTATCTATCTATCTATCTATCATCCATCCATCCATCCATCCATCCATCCATCTATCTATCTATCTATCTATCTATCTATCTATCTATCTATCATCTATTATTAATGTCTTCATCATCATCTATCTCTATGTACTCTCTCTTTCCTAATCTATCTCTATCATCTATGTATGTATGTATGTATGTATGTATGTATGTATGTATGTATCTATCTATCTATCTATCTATCTATCTATCTATCTATCTATCATCCATCCATCCATCCATCTCTCTATCTATCATCTATTATCAATGTTTTCATCATCATCTATCTCTATCTATATACTCTCTTTCCTAATCTATTTTTATCATGTATGTATGTATGTATGTATGTATGTATGTATGTATCTATCTATCTATCTATCTATCTATCTATCTATCTATCTATCATCCATCATCTATCTATCTATCTATCTATCTATCTATCTATCTATCTATCTCTATTCTATCTATCTATCTATCTATCTATCTATCTATCTATCTATCATCTATATATCTATCTATCATCTATATCTATCAATCGATCCATCGATCCATCGATCCATCCATCCATCCATCCATTCATCCACCAATCCATCCTAGACAACCAAGCAGTAAACCATAACCCAATCAAGGAACTATCAGCTCAAACAAACAAGCTAACAAGTACACAACAGCCCAATGAACCATCAACAACATCTCATCAACACTGACAGCATAACTCACAGTATATAAACAGAGAGCAAACCCCATCCCCTTCCAGCACTGATGATGTTACCCAATTAGGTAATGAAATGTCTGCAAGAGGATCCCATGGCATCTGTCTGTCTGTCTAGGAAGTTCCAGAATCTCAGAAATCACCGTACATTCTCCCTTTCAGGTCTATGGACACAGCACTCTCTCCCTTCTCATTTCTCCTCTGCTTTTGTTCCAACCTACTTCCCCTCCTCTTCTAAATCAGGTGAACCCCCAATATTGAACTCCAAATTAGCTACCTGTAAACATAGAGGAATGAACAGGTTCAGCATGGAGTGGGATGGAGAGAAACTCACCTTTGGTATCAAAACATTGTGAGAGCCAGTATTTTCCAAACACGACGTCCATTCTTTCTCCATGACGACAAACAAAAAGGCATCTTTTCTGGGGCCCAGGTGTGTTGGAGATCCTTAAGGGCTGACCACAAGAAAAAAGTAAGACTTAAAAACTACCTTGGCTTGGCTTCTCCCCTTCCGGCAGTCAAAGCTGGGAGGCAGGTAGAGGGAAATTCACAAGCGTGAACTTTATTTACCTGCATACTCTGACAGAAAATTGTGAGAGGCCCTGTTTCCCCTGGTCCTTGATCCTCCTGGGATCGTCGATCCATCACCCCATCAGCAAACATCACGAGAGACGAGGAAATAGTGGCATTCATAATAGAATATGACCTAGACCCAATGCAGAAAACAAAAATATGGCTAACAAGAGCTGTGATGGCACAGTGGTCAGAGGGAGGTACTGCAGGCTACTTCTGCTGACTGCCGGCTGACTGCAATTTGACAATTTGAATCTCACCAGGCTCAAGGTTGACTCAGCCTTCCGTCCTTCCGAGGTGGGTAAAATGAGGTCCCAGATAGTTGGGGGCAAAAATGCTGACAAAAATAATGTGATGGACAGCCCAGGCTCCGGCTCTGCCTCCATCCGTCCCTCTCCCTCTCCCTCTCCCTCTCCCTCTCCCTCTATCTTGCCTTGCTGCTGTCCCTGACTCCCATGCCTCATTCTCCTCCTCTGATTCGACTGCTAGAGAGGCCAATGGCCAACAGACCAGAACAATATGTTTCTATCCACATGTTCATCTTGATCTTCTAACAATGTACCGTATTTTTTGGAGTATAAGACGCTCCAGACTATGAGACGCACCTACTTTTTCTGGTGAGGAAAACAAGAAAAAGAAATTTGCCTCTGCCTCTGCCTCCCAGCAGCAAACAGCAAACAGCCTGCTTTACTTTCATTTTCATTTTCAGCATAGCTTGATTAGCACAAGAAAAAAAAAATCTGCTCCCAGCAATTTACCTCCTTGCAGCAAGCAGCAGAGGCCCGCGCAAAACAGCTGAGAGCAAAACAGCTGAGAGCAAAACAGCTGAGAGTCGGGAGGCCGATCCAATCAACTTGTGCTAATTAGGCTGTGCTGAAGCTGAAACGAGCTGTTTCTTCTTGCTGCTTGCTGCAAGGAGGTAAACTGCTGGGAGGCAGAGGCCAAAGGGTGAGGGCCAGTGGGTGGGCAGGGCTACATTCGGTGCATAAGACGCACCTAAATTTTCACCCCCTTTTAGGGGGGAAAAAGGTGCGTTTTATACACCGAAAAATAAGGTATGTCTACTCAGTTATTTCACACACACATCAACAAGAAAAGTTCTTATTACCCCTTCTGCACCGGATTAGGGTTATTCCCCATGAAAATATTAGAAACCATGGAAGATGGAATTACTCACCCATGGTAAACCCACGTGCCACATTCATCGGCTTTGGTGATATAATTCTCTGGCAACAATCCTGAGCACCCCGTGGCAAAAGAAGTACCATAAATCCAGCCTTCGCTAGTTGTGATTTGTTCCACAGGAGACATGAAGATGAAATCTCCTGGCACGAGTTCAAGCTCGTCATCGTTCTGTGGGGTGTAGGGGTAGATGACTTGGAGGGTCTGGAAAAGAGGAAGAGGAAGAAATTGAACACTGACCGACAAATCTCTTGCTTTGGGCTCCTTTTTCCAATCCTTCAAAAGATGTGAACAATGGATTGAAACTAAGAAACAATGGATGGAAATCAGTGGTGAAATCTAAAATTTGTTACTACCGGTTCTGTGGGTGTGGCTTGGTGGGGGGGGTGAGTAATGTGACTGGGTGGGCGTGGCCATTTTTTTTTTACTTTTAAAACCATTTTTTCTACAACCTCTTCGGCGAAGAGGTTGTAAAAAAAATGCTTTCAAAAGGCTCTGACGATCCCAGCTGAGTTGTCTGATCAGCAGAGGCTTTTTTTCTTATTTAAAAGATGATCAGGCAACTCAGCTTGGATCGTCAGAGGCTTTTAAAAGAAAAAAAGCCTCTGACGATCAGGCAACTCAGCTTGGATCGTCAGAGGCTTTTAAAAGAAAAAAAAGCCTCTGCCGATCAGGCAACTCAGCTTGGATCGTCAGAGGCTTTTAAAAGAAAAAAAAGCCTCTGCCGATCAGGCAACTCAGCTTGGATCGTCAGCGGCATTTAAAAGAAAAAAAGCCTCTGCCGATCAGGCAACTCAGCTTGGATCGTCAGAGGCATTTAAAAGAAAAAAAAGGCTCTGATGATTGTGCGGCTCACCTGGGCAATGGGGTGGGGGCAGGAATTTTTGCTACCAGTTCTCCGAACCACCCGCCTCCATCGTTACTGGATCGGGCGATCCGGTCCAAACCGAAAGCATTTCACCCTGATGGAAACTAACCAAGGAGAGAAGCAACCTAGAACCAAGGAGAAATTTCCTAATGGTGAGAACAATCAACCAGTGGAATGCCTTGCCTTCAGAAGTTGTGAATGCTCCATCACTGGAAGCTTTCAAAGAGACTGAATTTGTCTGAAATGGAATAGTCTCCTGATGGAGCTGAGGGTTAAACCAGAAGTTCCCTTCCAATTCTATTATTCTATATTCTATTCTACTTTTCCCCTAACCATGGATTCTCAGGGAGAAATTCTAAGGCTAAAGCTTCTGGAATTCCCACCCCCAAATACATAATCTTTTGTTCCTACTTCACTTCATCATCATCTTTTAATGACCCCCATAATCCCTTGCGGGTGGAGTCTGGGCAACTGAATGGAGCTAACAGAGTGTTTTAATGGCCGGATGCCCTTCCTGTCACCAATCCGGAGTTTTGTCCAGCAGATATATTCTCATTGTGCCCAGAGAGAGAAATATCTGCCTCTACCTAGGATCGAACTCACAGCCTCCTGATTGTGAGGCGAGGGCTCCACCTCTAGGCTACCGCACCACTCTTTTGTTCCTACTTCACTACCTTTGGCAGTATTTGAATTCTGAGAATCCAGCACAGAATTCTGGGACTATTGACAAGACTAGGAAGTCAAGACCCTTGACTCAACCGAGAAATCAAGAAGCCATCCCAGACAAACTTCTATAATACTGCCAAGGAAGCACCATGGACCTAGTGAGTCCATTTCAGAACATCTTCCTGGTTTTTACAAGAAGTTTCTTCAAGTCCAATTTACCTCATGATTGGCAAATCTAATGTCACGGGAGAAGATGGCAGCTACCCAGTCACAGCCCAGCTTGACATCAATGCTCTGAGCCAACTTCTCAAGGGTGGGCAAGTGGTTGGCTTGGAAGTGGTAAGCCAGGGTCACATGGAGTTGCTTCTTGTGGGGTTCCACGTGGACATCTACAAGAAGAAAAATGGTGGTCAACGGGATTCAGCTACAGCCTTCAAAACCTCCAGAAGCTCCTTTAAGAGAAGAGGATGAAGAGGAGGAGCCTTTTCTTGATGCACGGGCACGCAGAGCTGCCAAAAGGCAGGAGTGGCTCCTCAGGAGGAGGTCTCCTTGAGAGTAAGGCTTGGGGCTAATTGGCCACTCCCTTAGCCTATTTAAGGAGGAACGCCGACTGAAGCAATTTGTAGAGAACAACTTCAGTTCACTCTACTTCGCGTCTGGATTCTCTGCAAATTGCTTCTGGGCTTTCTGCCAACCTTCGTAAGATTGTGATTACTTTATCTTTGGTTTCTTGTAGCCTGTTAAGGAAGTTTATTACCAGCCTTTGTTTGGAAAAGACTGAGTTATTTTACTAAATTAAGTTTTGTACAAACTTTGTGTGTGCTGTATTCTTTGGGATCCGTAGCTGGGGCATAACAGTAAGTGAATACTATCCCTGACCAGCACAGACCACAGACTGTTCTGTTATTCCGCTCCCTGCTCACCCGCTTTAGCGGTGGCTTCCACCGCGAAGTCCGCCCCGAATTTCTTCAGGATCTCCGCGTAGTCCTCCTTAACGAAGAGACCGATGAAGTTGGATGAGGTATAGAGTTCCAGAGGCAAAGGAAGAGGGAATTTGCACCTCCACCGGGTCACAGTAGCCTGCAGGGCTTCACAGAGAGCGTCCACCTTGCTGTCTTCACACTGCAAGACATCCCACAAGAAGGTGAGACGCAGACCTCAAAGTCGCGTTGCCAATTCAAGGAGGAACTCTGGGTGCTCCGGTCCAGACTCACCATAAAGAATTGGCAGAGTGTGATGTGGGGAAAGATGTTGTGGGCTTTGTTTTTCCCACACAACTGTTTCGACTGCTGCCAGAAGTCAGTCAGCTTCCGTGCTAACGGGCCGGTGGGACGTAGGTAGAGGACGTATTCTCGAGGAAGAGGGTCATCGAGGAAGGGGTCACAGACATGGGAAAAGAGCCTGTAACGAAGAACAGAAAGGATGGGACGGTCCTTTCAGGTCCATGGAACAAATCCAGTTGAATAGACAATAGAATTCCTTATTATTATTATTTTATTATTATTTATTATATTTCTATACCGCCTTTCTCCCATAGGACTCAAGGCGGTGTACAGTCAAGAAAAATATAGACACACAAACATCATAAAATTGCTAATTAAAATTATTACTTAGTTTGGTCAATTAAATAAAACCCAGAATTAGATAACATTTAAAAAATTCATTCACATGTTCATATGTTTAGCCCTGCCTGTTGGAATATCAGGGTCTTGAGGGCACGGCGGAAAGCACGGAGATCAGGGATATTCCGTATCTCCGGGGGCAGTTCATTCCAAAGGGTTGGAGCCCTCACAGAGAAGGCCCTCCCCACAGAGAAGGCCCTCCCCACTGATGGTACCCTGAGTAGTCCCTCCCTGTGAGAACGAACTGGTCGGTGGGAGGCTATTGGTGGCAGAAGACGGTCTCGTAGGTACCCAGGTCCTAAGCCATGGAGCGCTTTAAAGGTGATAACTAACATCTTGAATCACACCCGGAAGACCACTGGGAGCCAGTGCAGCTCGCGTAGGAGAGGTGTTACATTGGCGCAACGAGCTGCGCCCATAATCACCTGCGCAGCTACATTCTGGACCAGTTGGTGCCTCCGGGTGCTTTTCAAGGGGAGCCCCATGTAGAGAGCGTTACGCTATGAGGCTGTAAATTTTCAGTTTGGATAACTTAGAACTGCATCGCTTGCAGTCAGTCCTAGGTATTGCATACAAAATTGTACATAGTAATGTTTTATTTATTTATTTATTGGTTCGATTTATATGCCGCCCTTTCTCCGGAGACTCAGGGCGGCTTACAATGCATTAAGCAATAGCCTTCATACTTTTGTATATACCTGCTTAGTAGGGCTTTCGCCCCCCCCAAGCAGTGTTCTTTTTTTATATATATACAAAGTCAGCTTATTGCCCCCACAATCTGGGTCCTCATTTTACCTACCTTGAAAGGATGGAAGGCTGAGTCAACCTTGAGCCTGGTGAGATTTGAACTTGCAGTATATGCAGGCAGCTGGTGTTACTTAACAACACTTTAGTCTGCTGCGCTACCAAGGCTCTTGTTTTACATGTTTTACCTGTAAATGACTTTTTCTCCGTTTTAATCGCAATAATACGCCTGCGAACAACTGCTTTAAACTCAATGTAAATTGTTCTAAACTTGACTGTAAAAAAAAAAAAAAAATTTCTGTAATAGAGTTGTCAAAGTCTGGAATGCCCTCAGTTGTCTCAGCTACACATTTTCACAGTTTCAGTCCCAAATTGACTTCCGTGGATCTCATACCCTGTTTCCCCCAAAATAAGACATCCCCTGATAATAAGCCCAATCGGGCTTTTGAGCGCATGGCAATAAGGCTAAGCGCTTATTTCAGGATTCAAAAAAAATATAAGACAAGGTCTAATTTTTGGAGAAACATGGTACCTAATAGTCTTTAATTGATTTTAAACTGTTTTAATTTGGATGTTTAATTTAATATTGTTTTATTTTTACTTATTTATTTATTTATTTATTTATTTATTTATTTATTTATTTATTTATTTATTTTTATATGCCGCCCTTCTCCGGAGACTCAGGGTGGCTTACAATGTGTTAAGCAATAGCCTTCATACTTTTGTATATTTTATACAAAGTCAGCTTATTGCCCGCACAAACCGGGTCCTCATTTTACCCACCTTAGAAAGGATGGAAGGCTGAGTCGACCTTGAGCCTGGTGAGAATTGAACTCGCAGTAATTGCAGGCAGCTGGATGTTAAATGCTGCCTTAGTAGGAGGCATTAGCCTCCTACGCCACTCAGGCTCCTCAATTTTAATGTGCAATTGTGCATTTTATTGTTGTGAGCCGCCCCGAGTCCATTGGAGAGAGGACGGCATATAAATCGCATTAAATTTAAACTTAAACTTAAGTGGTCAGTAGAGGGGGCATGCATAAGCACACTAACGTGCCTATCGTCCCTGCCATTGCATTTTTATTCTCTTTTTCTTGTTCTCGTTTTTGTTTTGAGGGGAACCTTTACCTTTTTAATGCAAGTAGCCGATGCGAATTGGGCAGCAAATGGTGTTCCAGTGCTGGGGAAAGTTATAAAACCTGCTCCTATTTTTCATCTGTGAGATGCCCGAGAGATCATCACTTTGAATGTAGCTACAGATCAATGCCAGAAGACCATGTCTGCCTACAGATAAAGCCACCAATTTAATTCCCAGTTCTTCCAGGGGCAAGGGGAAAAATTTTATTTCCCATCATACTGGCAGGGTTACAGATTCCATAATACGTGAATTCATACGCACCAGTCACAAGCTGCTTGCACACTTCGACCTCCGGTGGATGCCAATGCTTTCTGCCTGCAGATAAACAAAAGAGGGAGAGAGAAATGAGTTGTGAGTTCCGGTCAGAACACTAGATGGCAGTCAAGAAACACATCATTCTGTCAAGAATGAAGGGAAATACAGTATAAGCGTCCCTGGATAATGTCACTGGGACCAGAGATTTAGTGTTATTTCTCACCAGAATGTGTGAAAGAGAAATTCTGGTGAGAGAGAAGTTCCCTGAGGATAGGGCTCCAGCACGAGGCCAGAAGCTCGGAAGATTAAACCTCTAATCCCGCTGACCAACCCAGATTGAATCCTACGACATCCTTCTTTTCTTTATTTAAAGAAAAGGGGGAAAAGGCTAGGGAAAACTTTGCTGCGACAGGCATTCCTCTGTACTGCCCTTCTTCCCAAAAAAAAAAAAAAAAAAAAGATATTGGATTGTCCATCTGAATCCAAGTGGATGCTTTTATCCATTAAAAATGGAGGGTTTTCTTCAGAGGTGGTATTCAGCCGGTTCGTACCAGTTCGTGCGAACCGGTAGCGGAAATAGCAGGTGGGCCCAACCACCCACTCCGGCTGTATGCTGTCTTATTTAGGCACATTTTTGAGGCCGGGCACATGCGCAGAAGGCACACGAGTGAGCAGAGCGCATGTGTGGAAGGCACACGAATGAGGCACGCGGCGAACCGGTCGTAATAATATTGGAAACCGACCGCTGATTTTCTTTTGAATACTCTATCCATCTTTCCCTGGGATAATTCCTCTTTGCTGAGGGAGGGAGGGAGAATCACCAAAGAGAGATGAGACTTCGGAGTCTCCATGGAGATGGGATATTTTTTTTATTTTATTTTCAAAGAATGAAAAATCAAACCACCTTAAATAAATAACGGAAGACCTTGTGTTTTACATTTTGCGTTTGTGAGTGTGCAGTGTGTGCTCCATAGATTTCCTTCTGACAGGAAGGGAATGTTTGAAGCTCTGGATCGAACTGTGGGGTCCTTGGGTGCTCTTTGAAATAGGTTGTTTTCTTATGAACGTTTCATGACCCAATTAGGTAACGCTATCAGTGTAACGGTTTAGAAGGACTCTTCTAAGTTATAAGAAAAACTGAGGATTTTATCTAGTTTGGTAAGGAAACATGGCCTTCTCCAATTCGAAGAGACACTTGTTCGGCAGGCTGAGGCAAAGAGGCAGTCCCGGAACCAGCAAAATCTGGGGGGCAGAATGTATCTGCCCTCAGTGTGGAAGGGATGGCCACTCTCGAATTGGCCTTTTTAGTCACACGAGATGCTGTTTTAGGACCTCTTTCCAGAGCACGATACCATAGTCTCTTGAGACTGAAGGATGCCAATGTGTGAAGGAAACATCTGGGAGAGGAAAAAAACCCCAATCAATCAACAATCCAACTCAAAGAACACCAAAGATTCCTCATTCTTAATCCAAATTGCTAATGTTTAATTTTATGTATTAGATTCTACGCTACCCAGAGATCCTCTCCAATGGAGATAAGACAGCTAAGAATATATGGAATATAAAATAAATATAACTCCCCTCCTACAATGTCAAGACTGAGGGAGAGACTCCTAACCCATCCTAGTTTCCACCAAAGTTTCCGTCTTCCTGGTTTGTCTCCTCCTCATCTCCTGATTCATAATAAAGCACCCCTGACATATTCTAGCATGTGACTTCTCGTCAACGGCTCTGAGCAGCCTTTCCATTAAAGATTCATGTCCGCTAAAGATCTTCCTGGCTTGGATTTAAGCAGAGACAATGGAGATGGAGATGGGAGTCAGAGTTGGGAGGACGGGTTAACAGAATAACAGAGTTGGAAGGGGCCTTGGAGATCTTTTAGTCCACCCCACTCTGTCAAGCAGGAAACCCTGTACCAATTCAGATAAATGCCCAGCCTCTTCTTTTAAAAACCCCAGTGATACAGCACCCATAATTTCTGGAGGCAGGTCATTCCACTGGTTAATGGTTCTAAGTGTCAGGAAATCAAGGTTGTTCCCTCATGCTGATAGCAGGACCCTCCCTCTTCCATTTCCCAGCTGGGCAAATGGAGAACTATTTGGAGTGGGCACCTTGTCCACCCACCCCCCAAAATTGTTGACTCAATCCCGGGGTGAAATCCAGCAGATTTTGACAGGTTCTGGAGAACTGGTAGCGGAGATTTTGAGTAGTTCAGAGAACCGGTAGCAGAAATTTTGAGTAGTTCGGAGAACCAGCAAATACCACCTCTGGCTGGTCCCAGAGTGGGGTGGGAATGGGGATTTTGCAGTATCCTTCCCATGGAGTGGGGTGGGAATGGAGATTTTGCAGTATCTTTCCCCTGCCACGCCCATCAAACCACACCACGCCCACCAAGCCACACCCACAGAACCGGTAGTAAAAAAAATTGAATTTTATCACTGCTCACTCCACCAAAAAGTAGGGAGTGATAGGGCTAGGCCAGGGGTTTCAAACTCGATTTCATTGAGGGCCACATCAGGGTTGTGTTTGACCTCAGGGGCCTGGGGTGGGCGTCGTCAGGGTGGGTGTGGCTAGCTCGAAAAAAAAAAAATTTTTTAGCATAATAAAGTGAAACATTTGTTAAGGGAATTTTGCCCTGTTTTACCAGCTTTCTTGCCCTTGTTGTTAAGTGAAACACTGCAGTTGATAAGTTAGTGACACAGTTGTTAAGTGAATCCGGCTTCCCATTGACTCTGCTTGTCAGAGGTCCACAAAAGTGCGACCGTCATAAATAGGAGTCTGAATTTTGATCACGTGACTTTGCAGATGCTGCAATGGTCATAAGGGTGAAAAATGATTATAAGTTTTTCATATAACTAAATCAACTCTTATAAGTCAAGGACTACCCATAAGATGGTTCAGTCGCAATATCTTCTCTGAATCCTTGGTACAACTTTTTACCAGAATGGTTCTTTGTCCATTAGAACATGTGTTTTTGTGAAGGTGCGTCAGAGTGTGCACTGTATCAACCCAGGAGCAAGTACAGCCAACAGTGGATTCTATCAAATAGTGGTTTTTATCTACAATAGGAATATAGGAATACTATACATACATGTGTTACAAGCAGTATCTAAACAAACAGCAATTACAGCAGAGGAGAAACTCGATGATCGGATGAACACTCTAGCAAGGCCTCCTCTTATTACACAGGCTCTTAAAGGGATAACAGCCAAAGTCCCTACTGACTCATTCCCCTCATTGCATCAACTGGTCTTAAATCATCACTTTGATAAGGTGTTTTCTTTGACATCTGTAATAAGGTGATCGATAGCTGCAGAATGCATTGACATGCCTTTTCATCAATGTTGGGTTGGTGGCCTTGCAACTCTACTCTACTCTTTGCTTGATGTCTGATACTAAAAAGAGAAGCCGGAAGCCAACAGCAGAAAGCCACGAGCTTACAAATTCTCCTGAAAAAAGGTCACCTCGTGGCCCCTTTCCCACAAGTCCTTTTTGGTTTTCATTTCAGGAGAAAGACGTGCCAATTTGCAACATTACCTCTGCCACGGCATGCTGAATTTTTGCCTCTGCGTAAGACGCAGTCACACACAAACAATTCGCACAACCACAGCTGGGGCGTGAGGGGTGATGTGGACATCAAGGATTGCACAAGCAGAGCTCTCCAGAACCCTTGAAACTAAAGGGACATCACGAGGCCAAGGAGGAAGGGGAAGTGCAAATGAACGAAAGCGTTTTTGACCCAAAGATTTGGGAAGACGTTTCCTCTTCCCGTTGGCACAACTCACCCTTTGGATTTGTTCGAGAGGAAGGGTGGCAGAGAAACAAATCCGTAACCTTTCAACAGTCGAGGGAAAAGAAAGCAAACAAGCAGAACAAAAAACAAAGCATAACATCAGCCAGCAGAGATAAGTTATGAGTTGAAAATGGTTGGATACGGGTTGTCCCAAAAGTGCCTTTTCAAAAGGCAACTGGACTTTTTTTTTCTTTGAGAATGTTTCACTTCTCATCCCAGAAGCTCCTTCAGTTCTGAAGAAGAACTGAAGATCTTCAGTTCTCCCATTCTAAAGACCTGAAGATCTTCAGTTCTTCAATTCTGAAGACCTGAAGAACTTCAGTTCTTTCATTCTGAGGACCTGAAGAACTTCAGTTCTTCCATTCTGAAGGACTGAAGAACTTCAGTTCTTCCATTCTGAGGACCTGAAGATCTTCAGTTCCTCCATTCTGAAAACCTGAAGAACTTCAGTTCTTCCATTCTGAAGACCTGAAGATCTTCAGTTCTTCCATTCTGAAGACCTGAAGAACTTCAGTTCTTTCATTCTGAGGACCTGAAGAACTTCAGTTCTTCCATTCTGAAGACCTGAAGAACTTCAGTTCTTCCATTCTGAAGACCTGAAGAACTTCAGTTCTTCCATTCTGAGGACCTGAAGAACTTCAGTTCTTCCATTCTGAAGACCTGAAGATCTTCAGTTCTTCCATTCTGAAGACCTGAAGAACTTCAGTTCTTCCATTCTGAAGACCTGAAGATCTTCAGTTCCTCCATTCTGAAGACCTGAAGAACTTCAGTTCTTCCATTCTGAAGGACTGAAGAACTTCAGTTCTTCCATTCTGAAGACCTGAAGATCTTCAGTTCTTTCATTCTGAGGACCTGAAGAACTTCAGTTCTTCCATTCTGAAGACCTGAAGAACTTCAGTTCTTCCATTCTGAAGACCTGAAGAACTTCAGTTCTTCCATTCTGAAGACCTGAAGATCTTCAGTTCTTCCATTCTGAAGGACTGAAGATCTTCAGTTCTTCCATTCTGAAGACCTGAAGAACTTCAGTTCTTCCATTCTGAAGGACTGAAGATCTTCAGTTCTTCCATTCTGAAGGACTGAAGATCTTCAGTTCTTCCATTCTGAAGGACTGAAGAATTTCCCTTCTGAAGATCTGAAGAAACTTCCAGGATGAGAAGCAAAACGTTCTGAAAGAAAAAACAAAAAACACAAAGTCCAGTTGCCTTTTGAAAAAGCACCTTTGGGACAACCACGACCCGAATGACTGAGAATCTCCAGAGACGTTGGG